TGTCTTTCGAAAGGACAGAGATGATGCTGTGGCATCATCTGGTGGTGTAGCCATTATTGTTAATCGAGGAGTAGCATGTAGCCATCTACCACTACTAACATCCCTAGAGGCAGTGGCTGTTCGAGCAGTTCTATTGAATAAGCTCGTCACCATCTGCTCTCTATACATACCGCCGCAACACCGCCTGGAAAAACATGATTTTCACTCTTTAATAGCCGAGTTACCAGAACTTTATCTGGTTCTAGGGGACCTGAATGCGCACAGCGGTTTATGGGGTGACTGTCGATGTGATGCACGAGGTCGTCTCATCGAACAGTTCCTCTTTTTGTCAGGTGCTTGCCTGTTGAATAGAAAACAGGCAACATATTATAACCTTGCAAACAATACTTACTCCTCCATAGACCTCAGTATCGCATCTCCTTCACTTGTACCATTACTTCAGTGGAAAGTCATAAATAACCCATACGGAAGTGACCATTTTCCTTTGGTTTTGAGTACACCAATAATACATGAATGTCCTCCACATGTTCCCAAATGGCTGATAAACAAAGCTGACTGGGAACAATTTCAAAAAATTACTCACTTAAGTTGGACCGAAATATGCGGATTAGGCATAGATGAAGCTGTGAAGTACTTCACAGCTTTTCTAACTGACGCAGCAGCCAGGTGCATACCGCAAACATCTGGAATGCCCGGCAAACGACACGTCCCATGGTGGAACACGGAGTGTCGTAATGCGCGAAAGGAACAGAACAGGGCATGGAGATTGCTGCGCAACTCGCCAACAGCGGAAAATCTTGACACGTTCAAGAAAATAAAGTCTCAAGGAAGGAGAACGCGTCGGCAGGCCAGAAGAGAAAGCTGGCAGAAGTTTTTGTCAGGGATCGATTCATACACACAGGAGGCAAAAGTCTGGAACATGGTCGGTAGGATAGCAGGGAAACAAGTACACACACTTCCACTCGTAAACACTCAAGGTGATACCTTGGAAGATCAGGCAAACTTCCTCGGGGCACACTTTGAACGGGTATCCAGCTCGTCCCACTATACTGACACTTTCCAAAAATACAGAACAAGAATAGAAAAGCAGAAACTCGAACACAAATCCACTAGATACGAGGCATATAATCAAGCTTTCAGTCTAGCGGAGCTCCGAACATCTCTAAACTCCTGCAGCACTTCTGCCCCAGGTTCTGACCGTGTGGTGTATGAAATGCTAAAAAACCTACCAGCTGAAACACGAAAAACCTTACTTTGTTTGTACAATGCTATCTGGTTTTCTGGCACTATCCCTACCTCCTGGAAAGAGGCTATTATTATTCCCATTTTGAAAGAGGGCAAGGACCCTTCTTTAGCTTCAAGTTATAGGCCTATTGCACTTACAAGCTGCTTGTGCAAAGTATTCAAAAAAATGATAAACTGCCGACTTGTACATATCCTTGAAACAAACAATTTGCTCGACCCATTTCAGTGCGGGTTTCGAGAAAGTAGATCCACCACAGACCACCTTGTTCGTATCGAGGCACAGATCAGAGACGCCTTTGTCCATAAACAATATTTTCTCTCTGTGTTCCTCGATATCGAGAAGGCGTATGATACAACATGGCGTTTCGGAATTCTAAGAGACCTGTCCCACCTTGGTGTGCGCGGAAGAATGTTCCATATAATCGAAAGTTACCTGTCAAACCGGACATTCCGTGTCCGTCTGGGCAGTGTGCTCTCTCAAACATTTGTCCAGGAAACAGGCGTGCCACAAGGTGGCGTGCTTAGTTGCACACTTTTTATTATCAAAATGAATTCTTTGCACTTGTCCATTCCCCGCAATATGTTCTATTGTACATATGTCGACGACGTTCAGCTTGGCTTCAAGTCATGCAACTTGGCCATGTGTGAGCGGCAGGTTCAGCTGGGTTTAAATAAGGTCTCCAAATGGGCAGATGAAAACGGATTTCGACTTAACCCACAAAAAAGCACGTGTGTCTTGTTCTCTCGAAAGAGAGGCATGCACTCGGAACCTGACATTCGACTGAATGGGCAACGTCTGTCCGTCAAAGCCGAGCATAAATTCTTAGGCTTAATCTTGGACAACAAGTTGACCTTCGTACCGTACATCAAGTATTTAAAAAAATGTTTAAAAGCCATGAATGTTATAAAAGTGTTGTCACGTACTACGTGGGGTAGTGATAGGCAATGCCTCATGAACCTCTATAAAAGCCTCATCCGCACCCGCTTAGATTATGGGGCCGTTGTCTATCAGTCTGCCACTCAAAGTGCCTTGAAGATGCTTGACCCCGTGCACCATTTGGGCATCCGCCTTTCTACGGGTGCTTTTCGCACCAGCCCCGTAGAAAGCCTTTATGTTGAGTCAAATGAGTGGTCGCTTCATCTGCAGAGAACTTACATGTCCTTTGTTTATTTCCTTAAGGTGAAAGCAGACAAGAAGCACCCCTCATACTCTACAATTAATGATTTGTCGAGCTCAACTCTGTTTCAAAACAGGCCTTCGATGAGGCAGCCCTTCTCAATTCGCCTGAAGTGTCTAGCTGAAGAAACTGAAGTGTCACTTGAACACAGTTTAATGGCTCCTGTAGCATACCCGCCACCGTGGCAGTGGCAGAATATAGACTGCGATGTGTCTTTCCTAGAGGTTACAAAACATGCACCTAATGCCCATATCCGAACATACTTTCTGGAACTTCAACACAAATACGCATGTCCTGAGTTCTTCACAGATGCCTCCAAGACTAACTCCTCTGTGTCCTACGCTGCTGTCGGCCCATCCTTTTCGGATGCTGGCCCTCTACATCCACGCACAAGTATCTTCACAGCGGAAGCTTACGCGATACTGGTGGCAGCTAAACACATCAAACAATTACAAATACAAAAAGCAGTAATTTATACAGACTCCCTCAGTGTGGTAACGGCTCTGCACAGTCTTAAAAAACAAAAAAAAACCCAGTCCTTGTCTCACTTTACTCCATTTTGTGCACACTTTACACGCAGAAACACATGTTGTAGTGTGCTGGATGCCAGGGCACCGTGAGATCCAAGGCAACGTGAGGGCGGATCAGCTCGCTGCATCCGTCCATGAGAGCACCGCCATTACATCCATATCAATCCCGGCCTTTGATCTTAAGCCGTCTCTCAAACTAAACCTCAGGGACTACTGGCAGAGCAAGTGGGATACACACACACAAAACAAACTACACGTTATCAAGCCACACCTTGGCCATTGGCCACCAGTATCAAAATCACGTCTAACAGAGGTAACACTAACAAGACTCAGGATAGGGCACACATACACGACACACACACATCTTTTATCCGGTGGTGATCCACCATTGTGTGATAAATGTGGTGAGGCTTTAACAGTTCTTCACGTTTTAATCCAATGTAAACAGTTAGACACTCTAAGAAGACAACACTTCCCATTACCCTACCGACAACATATACCTTTACACCCTGCAATGTTTGTCGGTAGGGAACCACTTTTCACCCATAAATCATTGTTAGCTTTTTTAAGAGATGTTAATTTTTACCATGTATTATACCCAGGCATTGCGTAGCGTGACCTCTCAAGAGAGGTCGCTGCTGCTGTGATTACATTTAAAAGCACTTGCCTCGCAGCCCTTGGACACAAGGGCACTGATGAGGCAAGTGTGCTAGTGCCAAATATTTTTACGTTTTTATTATCAAAACCTTTGTCACCCTTTTTAATATGCATATCACGCCACTGTCATGTCTTTAATACTTATGTTTTTACCCGCATTATCGCGAGGAATTTTAGGGCCCTTATACAGCCACGCAACATATCATTGTCCGCATCTCTATACTCATTGAAATGGCGCTCTTTGGCCATCAATTGGCCCTTGCGCCATAAAACACCACACATCATCATCATCATAAAGTAGGGCTTCCGGGCAGCGTGAATTTTTTTTGGAAAGGCATATTCATGGTATAGCACCCCTTCACTGCAGTGAAACCACCTTTTCAGGGGGCTAATACACTTATTCGTTCATTTTGAATGCTGCAACATTTCCAATACCCTAAGTTCGAATCGAAGCGAAATCAAATACGGTAATATTTGTTTGGATATTCGAAGGGCTTGAATATTCACAGATGCCTTGATCAAAACGCATGCCCAGTTTGTTTTTGGTCGTGCACTAAAAGCTCGTCGATATAGATTTCACGAGACTAGAAAAGGTGTCCGAATGGACCGAATGCTGAATTAATAAAACTATCAAGAAAACAGTGAACAAGTGTCTATTACATCAGTGAATTTTCATTTTCGGGATGAATGGGTTAATCCAGTACTGATTTTGCATAATAAGAGCCTAAAAGCCTCAATTTCTGACTTTGTTCAAAATGTTACTGTGGCTCAAGACCACAAATAAAATAGAAAACTTGACAATCCTTCCTTGCAAATAATGTGATCATGGTGAGGTCTTGAATGGTGGCGATCCCCACTCTGAAGTCTGTGGTCGTATTAGTAGTCCGTGAACGCAGTTTTCGCTTATTTGTGTCGCACCTTTGCGGCGCTTCATCTTTGGCACATCAGAGGATCATCTGAATCAACCAAATTGTTGCCAAATATGATTTCAACGAGAGTTTAATGCTTTCCAGGATGAGAGGACGCGGCCACTTCATCGGATTATTCCTAATTAATGATGGTAAAATAATGAGCTTTACGACATTTGTTTCGAGCAAAGAAAAGTAATTTCCTTGCTGCAGGTCTTAAAACGTGGCACGTCGAACGATTGTCGAACGTGGTAGTGTCTCCAGCAAAGTGATCCTCTTCGGCAATGCCTTGCACAATGACCCCTAATTATCTGCTTACGAAGCCTCTACAGATGTGCACACTACATTTCAAGCCATTCAAACAAATGTGGTGCATGACGCGCTTCCATGATTCTATTGAAACGACATTGGACGAAAACCGGTGTTTTCGGTGCTGTCGCTGGTTGTGCGTTGTGACGTAACGGGCATGCTTGTAATCGCAGGAGACGGGTGACAAGCTGGAGACTCTCGAGCGCAGCCTCAAGGAATGCCAGCTCAAGGAGACCAAGGCAAGCTCCGACGTGGATCACAGCAAGGCGCACATCAAGCTGCAACACAAGACCCGCGCAGGTCTCCAGAAGAGCATTGACGAGGTATGTCGCTTGATTTGATGCGTGGTATCTGCAAGCATACCGCGTGCTTTGCCGCGTGCTCTCAGCAGGCTTTCAGAGGCCTAGCATTGGAAGAGTTAGGGAGAGCACCTCAGTAACCTGCGCTTTTCCGATGACATTGCATTGATGAGTAACTCGGGGTACGAATTGCAATTCATGATTACTGAATCGGACAAAGAGAGCAGAAAGGTAGGTCTGCAGAAATTATTCTGCAGAATATTATCTACAACAACTTCTGAAGAGAACAGCACTTTGAGACAGGTAGCAGTGCACTTAAAGTTGTAAAGGAGTGCATCTACGCAGGGCAGGTAGTAACCACGGAGCCGAACCACAAGATTGAAATAACTATAAGAATGGAGTGGAACGCATTCAGCAAGCATTCTCAAATCATGATTGCCACTATCCTTGAAGAGGGGAGGCTGCCCTGGAGACAGAACTTTTTTATTTTTAAGTTATCTCAATAAACTTACTGGGCATTTTAACTACACTAAATCTAGAGGAGCTGCAAAGTTTCATGAAGCTCTGTTTTTTCTTTTCATAGTTATTGAGGTTTAACTAGGTTGTTCACGTGGGTGCTTGAGGAATAGTCATGAGAAATCTCAGGACATAGATAAAAAGCTGAAATTGTGGTAATTTTTTTATAGATATCGTAGTGTACTGCATAGCCATTTTTTCAATTCTCCTTCCCAATAATACTGTATTTACTCGATTCTACCACACCCTCGATTGTAACGCGCACCCGATTTCCATGACGAAAAAAAAAAAAGTAAGACATCGATTGCAACACGCACCCATTTTTCTCGCTGGTCCGCACGATCACACCACTCGAAAAAACGACTCCTTTCGGGAGCGTCTTTCATTTAAATATGAGGTACGGGGGAAGCTTGTGCCCATCTGACATGTAACAGAGCATTGCCGTCACTACAGTTTTACCGTGAACTGATGTCAGCATGCGAACTTGCTTCGCCCCCTTCTTCTCGACGGTTGTGGTGCCAGGCATGTCGAAGTAAAGAGGCGTCTGATCGGCATTCCCGATTTGCCTAAACAGGTAGCTGTTGTTGTGCCGCAAGTTTTTTTGGACGAACCTCTGAAAACTGTGAAGCTTTTCATGGTACTCCTCCGCAAAACCTTTCGCATATGCCCGTTCGCCTTCAGAGGGAAAAGCCTTTTCTCTTCATAAAGTTAGTTAGCCAGCACCTGCTGCTCGCTTTAAAGTGGCTCCGCATTAGACCTTTTTCTAAGGCTAATTGCATACTCCGCACTTGGAGCAGTTCTGTCGTCACGGGCCGCTGTGCCCCTCGCTGCTCAAGCACATACTCGCCGAAGCAGCTCTTTAATTAGCGGAAACCGACCCTGCTGTGGTCCACTGAAGCATTTGCGTGAAGCTTTGCTGTCGACAATCTTCTGCTTTTGTTTCCGCCAGTCCCGCACGCACGTTTCGGGGACTACGAACGACCGCGATGCGGCCCGATTTCCGTCCGTTTCTGCACACGCGATGACTTTCCTTTTAAAAGCGGCATCGTGGTGCACTCGAGTTTTTGGAGTCAACCCTTCCATGCCGTCGATGCTAATGCAGACTGACTGGTGGTTCGTGAGGAAAAGAAAGAAGGCACCTAATTTCTGTCTGCCTACAGGCGACACGGCGCAGTGCCTTTGCTAATGCACTACAAGATGACGAACTCCTCAGCACACGTACGAAGTGCCGCACAATGGAAACACATAGGCAGAAATGGCCGACGCGCCATGCTGACGCACGTAGGGGGCGGCCATTTTGGAAATGCCGATGGCAATAGAATGACCGTATTCATTTTTTTTTCATGCTTGATTCTAACGCGCATGCGATTTATGAGTTCGCTTAACCGGAAAAAAGGTGCGCGTTAGATTCGAGTAATTACGGTGTTATGCAACTTTGAATTTTATGTAGCTAGTAATTACCAGATTCATCAAAAATTAGTTGTTTATTATAAATTAATGACATCAATTTTCAAAAATAGAGTTCGTTACACACTGGCAAAGTCATTCGAAAAGGGAATTAAAAAAATTGCACCCAAATTTGATGAGCAGTCTTTGAGTTTCCCCGGCACCACAACTAGCAAGGAACTCCATCCTGAAAAAGGCACGTGGAAAGTTCGACACTTCTGTTTTCTTCACAAAGCTTCAGCGGAATGGCTGTAAGTGTCTTGTCGCACTCTTTTCTTTTTTCGCCTCGCCTACATTTTCTTTCGGTGTCATTTGTAGTATATGTTGAGGCGTAAAGAATCGAAGTGCTGGGTCCGGCGATCTCGAATACCCTTGGCGTCACGCTCGACAGCACTGATTAGGAGCACTTACAGAGTCCCACGGTCACGGAAACATTCAGTGCATTTGTGCCTCCAACCGCACTCGATGTGTCGGATTCTCGGCTGGCGACAGCTGACAGCACAGTTCTGCCTCTGCAAGCGCCTTCGCAGTCAGCACTCGCAGCAGAATAGCAGAATCTCGACACTATATATAGTCGACACATTATAGTCGTGCATGGCTAGTGAAGAAGTAAGGGACTCCGAGAAATGAGGGAAGTTTGAAACTTCGAGAATATGTGCTGTGGTAAGTTATGTACAGTGTAATAAAAGCATTCAAGACAGTGCACAGATGTGGAGTGGTAACAGTTTTTTCCGGACTGAAAACAAAAAAGACTGTACTGAGTTACTGGAAGTTATCAGTATGGAAGTGATAGATGTCCATAACCTTCAGTTGTGTTTTATTTTAACTGCATTTCTTCCTTTCTTTTTTGATGAGCTTATTTTACAGTTAGGCTTGCCCAAACACTTGGATACCCTTTACTGATACTCTCTATTATAGCATTTTACATTAATAGCTAGCCAAGCATCGGTAGTGTTGGCTGCGTGGAGGTACAAAAATTGGATGCACGTTTCCAATCAATAGAAAGAGTGTTAGACTGAATTCACAGCTTTTATTTTTACTGTTTGCTTGTTCTTATGAGAGTCTTTGCCTACTAACACTAATGCTGTTTGTGTTCTCGTGTCCGTGTTTGCACGCCTGCACTATCTGAAGGGGAATCTTTACCAGCAAGTTTAACTTCCTGCCATTCAAAGAGTTCGCTGGCTCTGAAAATGTTCATTGCTGCAACTGATTAAGCTTCTGCAACCGGCGTGTTTCTTAGCCAGTTTCATCGGATGTTTCATGAAGGCGTGATGTTATTATTATTATTTTTTTTTTTTTGGTGGTGTCTATTTCTAGTTCCTGTGTCTTCCTTGCTCACTGCTGGCCAACACCTGAAGTAATTCACATATACTTTCAAACCTCAATACAACGAACCCCGATACCATGAAATATCGGTTATGACTGCGTAAATGAAGAATAGGTAGTGTTAGGAGTATTGCTTTATAACGAATATTTCGATATAACTCATTTTCGGGCAGTATGCAACTTTGTTATAATGGGGTTTGAGTGTACATGATTAGGTGTTCTCCTAGAAACCAACCAGCTCAGTGCTCATGCTCTTGTCAGTGGTGCCTCCTAGTCCTTGCGTTGTGCATTCACAATGGAGTGCTGAAACATGCACTCAAACCTCGATATAACGAATTTGGATATAACGAATAATCGGTTATAACGAAGTGACAAATATCCTTGCCTTAGATACAGTGTTAGAAATAATCAATCACAACAAAATTTTGGATGTAACGAAGTTATTTTTATGGCAGATGTGACTTTGTTATAATGAGTGCATGTCCTCGCTCTGCTTCCTCGCTACCAGGACGGGGCTGCCATTGTGAGCAAGGAGAAGCAGGTGCAGAAGTTGCAAGACGCGCTTGTCCAGCTGGCCGAGGAGAGCGAGAAGGACGCAGAAGCCGTGGCCGCGGCCCACAAGCACTTCCAGGCGGTCAGCGCTGGCCTCGCGAGCAATGCCGATGGAGAGGAGGCCACACTTACTGAACAGCTGAGGGGTATGTGGCATTGTATGCACATGTGACAGGATTGTAGATGTACAGTCGGCATCAAGTGAAATGCAAACAGTGGCCAGTATTAGACATCGTATACCGTATTTACTCGCATAATCCTCGCACTTTTTTTTTGCCGGAAAATCGATGCAAAATTGGGGGGTGCGAGAATTACGCGGGAAAAACTTTCCACGAAAACGTACAGAGCGAAAAAGAAAACGAAGTGGCTGCAAATCGGGATTCTCACACCAGCAGCTAATAGCAAGCTTTAAGAAGTATTAATTAAAACTTACCTCAACAATAAAAGCAGAGGTTCAACACAAGACAAGATTTATTTGAGACACAAAAAGTGGAAGCAAATAGTCGAGAATATGCAAAGCTTGTGGTCGTTGCGGGCGTAGCAATAGCGTTCGTCGCTCAACAAGAGCCCTCAAAAGATAAGCGTAGGACACCAGTATTGGGCTGATGGCTTTTTAACAGAATCGTCCGCAGTTTCCTTCTGAAGAAATAAAGTTTACCATCAATCCCAGTTTTATGCACACGGCAGGCCCAACGCGTCTTGGTGGCTTTGAGCTGCCGTCACCAGTAGCGAACACAAAACTCGTAGACTCCGAAGGGCCTACCGGCAGCCCTGTTGCCGTTGTTTAGTGCATGGTCTATCACTTGCAACTTGAAAGCAGTCCGTGTAGCTTGAGTATCGCCTCATAACCTGACAAGGTTACCGACACAACATGCCAAACGCGCCGCAACGCGCACTGGCCACTTCGGCTTGGCTTGGATTGGATTGAATCTCTGTGTAGTAGTACACTTGATGGTTGAGAGATGCACGCGCTTATCATTATACAAAGGGATCAGCCTCAAATCATCATCATCATTAGTGGCTGGAACGAGTGGACGACATTATTGTGGCAGTTTCAGGGGTGGGATAATTACTCGAGGAAAAAAAGAAATCGTATTTTTGTTGGGCGATGTGGGGGGTGCGAGAATTATGCGAGTGCGAGGATTACGCGAGTAAATACGGTAGTGCGCTCCATCCAGTCATAACCACTGATATTCGCGCGTCAGCTCTGTTTGGCAGCACTGTGCATGCTCGCAGTGATGACTGAATGGGGCTCACTAGACAGTAGCTAATGCTTGCTTCATTTGTCGTAATGTTTCATTTGTCGCTGACAGTATACACAAACCTCAATATAACTAACCTAGATATTATGAAATGTCTGTTATAAGGGTAACTTATTACTGCATATGCTCTTACCAACTCCCTTCTGTAATGCCTTTGGGTCCTGAAGGTACCGTGATAAATAAATAAGTTACAAAGTGAATGAAGAATAGTCTTGCGATAGATAGTGTTGAGAATATACCCTTATGACAAATTTCTGATATAACAAACTTATTTTTATGTAATGCAACTCGTTATAATGAGGTTCAAGTATTTTTCATGAGGTGAAAGACAAATTGACGAATCAGATTTTAAAAAATTTTATGAATTTTTTTTATACTTTCCTAGTTGCCAAAAAATTTGTGCTGGTTCAGAGATTGAACAGGGGACCAGTGCCTTTGGGGTGGTCACTGTATGAATTGACCTAACCAGGATGCCAGCAAATTGCAGCATGATGGTGAATTAGTCTGCTCGAAGCAAATGGACACAGAATATTGCGAATGCCTTCTGTAAAATTCCGCAAGGGGGTGAAACAATTATGAAAAGGTTCTGCAGAATTCCACCACCCTGCAGTATTTCATAGAACCAATTGGTAGCTATATATTTCTATACTGCCACCCTCTAGATCAAGACCACAGCGGGTAGGCACATGGATATGGGAGCATACGACAAGATGCAGCACATTTCGTAGTCCGCTCGAAGCTCAATATAACGAAATACCGGTTATACGGGAGTAAATGGCAAATAGTCTTGCGATAGATATAGTGTTAGGAATATACCTTTATAACTAATATACCTTGCTTGCATGGGTAGGCGTGCTTGCTGGGTATTTCACGGTAGCTGCATCTGAAATTTGTGACCTCGCATTTTTAGGGCTTATGCAAGGCTTTTGCTGCAAATACAGTAACCTTAGTTAAATGTGTTAAGGGTTATTCAAAGCTCTGAATATTTGATTCGCTTCTGTCCCTTTTAATTCGTATTCTATAGGATCTCGGAATCAGCCATTCGTGTGCCTTTAGATCTGGCCTTTTGATTCGTTGCACAAGGAGTGCAACCTGGTGCGTTTTTCACGCTGGTGCATTGTCCAACCTTCGCTGTGCAGCTGCGAAGAGCGACATCGCGGAAGGCCGAGACCGAGAGCCGCCAGGCAGGAGATGCGCCTCAAGCATTCGCAGGAAGAGGCCAAGAAGAAGCAGGCCGAGTGCAAGAAGACCGAGGCCAGCTACCAGAAGGACGAGGCGGCCAACCGCGGGATCGAGAAAGAGCTGAATGCTATTCGGGTAGGGGCTCCGATTTATGCTCGTGAAATTCTGCAGTGGACTTGACCGGTACTTTCGGGCGGTGGAATTGTGGGAATGACTGCTGCGGAAGCAAGTCTAGACCTTGCACAGTCAACTCCTGACAATTTGAAGTCGCTTGATTAGAATTTACAGTTAATTAGAAGTCAACTAGTGGTCCCCTCAACTTTGCATGCATGCCTATAGGAAACAATGCTCGATAATTCGAAGTGAAAAGCCTGTTAATTAGAAGTTATTTGCAGTCAATAGCCTCGAGGTAAGCGTAATTTCTCAATAAAATGAGAAATTTCATATGTGCCAGGACCGCCAAAGCTGCTGTCGGACCGGGCTGTTGATGCCATCACCACTACCCGCAGCACCACGGTTCACGAAGCGGCCATCTTGTTTAGGCAAAGCCTGGGCATCGCATTGGTCGCATCGACTAACTAGGTGTTTCTTTGAGATGTGCCCAGTGCATCAGCCGCGCCCTGGGTTAATGTCTGGTTGAAGTTTGAACAGTGCGATTGGACGCTGGCAAAAAAAAGTGCTCAAACACACACACACACAGTGCTGTGGGGATGTTTGCGTGTTCCTGCTCCGTCCGCATCCAGCTGCACGGTTCATGCATAGCATGATAAACCAACCAGTCCACCAACGCTCCGTTGCTTTATTCCGCACGTGTTTCTACAGCTGGTTTTGAATGTTGTGGCGGCGACATTTGGTAATGGCAACTCCTCGGCCGCTACCGAATTCTTGACCTGGCGACGAAAGTTGAAAGTCTTAGAAGAAGTTGACCAGGGAGGCACTGCCAAGCAAGTCATCACACAAAACTATATGACGTTCGCCGCAGTACACTAGTGTCCCGCGGTAAAGTGTATTATGATTTCGAAGGGGTTGTTAGCGCTATTCACGGGACACAGTACATTTTCTTCAATTACTCATGCGTGTATGGGACGTATAATTGTGAAAAACAGTATGATCACTGGCAGTATAAAATGGTTATTGGTAATCATTTGGAGCAATAAATGACATTTCTACTACTACTAAAAAAAAAAAACTTGCGTGCCTATTTTTTTTTTCTTTAGTGCCACCCCACTCACTTTTGGGTTTTACGAATCTTCCGAATTTCAAGGTCGCCAGCTTGACAGATCAAAGGATTCGATGGGCACAGCAAAGGTTAATGTGGACTTCGTTGTTTGCCGAGTGGGGTAATTCAGAATGCTACTTCAATGATATAGCAGTGCCCATCTTCACTATGCCTGATTTGAGTGGGTTAAATGTTTTGTAGATATGTATATTTTTTTTCTAAATGTAGGCCTTTTTATTTACACTGCTCTAAATGTGGTTTTTTGTGATGAAAAATTTAATTTTTTTTTGTAACCAGCTTCAAATTTAGATTTCAGTGCTCCAAAAGTAACATTTCGCTGCTCGGAAAATTGGTCCAGGTTCTTTTTTGGCTGTTGCACCTCTGGACCTCTCTACTGGAGCAGACAGATTTGGAACATTAAGTTCACTTTATTGGTTTGTGTATGTAACAGTTCTGAACTTAATGCTTGCCTACTTCTGACTTCATAGGCCCAGCTGAGCAAGCTCAACTTCGAAGAAGGTCGCGAGGAGAACCTCCTGAGCCAGAAGCAGCAGCTGCAGCGAGATATTCATGGCTTGCGACAGAATGTGGACATCTTCGAGGCAAGGTGAGCATCTTTGCCTGGGTTTGTTTCTCCCAAATGTGCGGAGCAATACTTATTCGGGACACAAAACTGTGCTCGCTTGGGTTTCTCGACAGTGACGTGGCGCCGTCGGTCTGTCATCCTTAGACAACTGACGGACAAGGCATTGGCCATGTGGGTGTATTCTAGCGCTTTGAAATGTGGGAACGAATATTACAGTTGTAGTGGAGCATACGCACAGAAATTTACACCGATGCAAGTGGCATCGGTCTTGGTGCAGTTTTGGCACAACGGAAAGGCACCCAAGCCGAATACGTAGTCGCCTATGCAAGTCGCGCTCTCAAGAAGGCTGAATTGAATTACTCCGTGACAGAGAAGGAGTGTTTGGCCATAATCTGGGCCTTGACGAAGTTTCGCCCGTACCTTTACGGCCGTCCTTTCGACGTGGTTACAGACCACCACGCTCTATGTTGGCTGTCCACATTGAAAGACCCGTCCGGACGCCTGGGACGTTGGGCAGTTCGATTGCAAGAATCCGACATCCGTGTAGTATTTCGTTCCGGTCGCAAGCATGCAGATGCCGATGCACTTTCGCGATCGCCATTAACACCAGATGTGGCTTCTCTGTCACCCCTTTTTACTACCTTGTCACCAATAGACACCACTGACATGCTTTCGGAGCAGCGTAAAGATCCATACCTTGCATTGTTACTCGACTACCTTACCGATCCGTCTGCTGTCCCTTCCACGAGAGCGCTACGCCGACAAGCAGCCCACTTTTCCGTGCGAGACAACATTTTGTACCGCCGAAACTATATGCCTGGTGGTCGGAAGTGGTTCCTTGCTGTCCCAACTCATATGTGCTCTGACATCTGCATGAATTTCCATGCTGATCCCCAAAGTGCTCACGCAGGTGTCCTGAAAACTTACGAAAGGCTGCGCCAACGCTATTACTGGCGAGGAATGTATCGCTTTGTGCAGAAATACGTTCAGTCTTGCACTACTTGCCAACAGAACAAGACACCTCCGCGGCACCTTACTGGCATGTTACAGCCGCTCCCATGCCCGGCTCGCCCATTCGACCGCGTGGGTATCGATCTCTATGGCCCCCTCCCATATAGTCGCTCTGGAAACCGGTGGATTATTGTCGGCGTCGATCATCTGACAAGCTACGCTGAGACTGCAGCTCTACCGGCAGCGACCGCCCACGAAGTTGCACTCTTCATTTTGCGCAGCTTCATTCTCCGCCACGGGGCTCCACGGGAATAACTCAGTGATAAGGGTCGAGTGTTCCTGTCGGAGGTCATCCAAGCTGTTCTCGCTGAATGCAACATCATCCACCGGAAATCTACCGCATACCATCCACAGACGAATGGTCTCACTGAACGGTTCAACCGCACACTTGGCGACATGCTGAGGATGTACACCTCCTCCGACCACACTAACTGGGACGCTGTCTTGCCTTTTGTTACCTTCGCTTACAACACCGCGACGCAAGCGACTACCGGTTTTTCCCCGTTCTTTCTGTTGTACGGCCGCGAACCATCCCACCCACTCGACACCATACTCCCGTACCGCCCTGATGCATCTGAGTGCTCCCCGCTTTCGGAAGTCGCCAGATACGCTGAAGACTGTCGTCAGTTGGCTCGGTCTTTGACAAGTGAGGCTCAAGGTCTACAAAAAACCCGACATGACGACGTTCATCACATAGCGCCTACGTTTTGTACTGGCTCCCTTGTGTGGCTTTGGGTGCCCCCGCACGTTCCTGGCCTGTCTTCTAAACTTCTGGCCCGGTACCATGGTCCATACCGTGTCATTGACGCAACCTCGCCAGTGAATTACATCATCGAGCCCCTAACACAATCGCCCCAGATTTGCGCCGTCGAGGACTCGAGACCGTACACGTCGACCGTCTCAAGCCCTACTACGACCCCCTCATTGTGCCTACTCCCTGAGTCACTAGGATGGCTACTCTTCACCCCGGGGGTATTGTAGTGGAGCATACGCACTAACGCGTATGCGCCTTCCAAAGAGAACGAAAAACCCCGTGCTCTGATTGCACGAGAACCTGGGCCGCCTTTGCCAGACTTGTCGTACGGCCATTATTCGTTGCGACATCGTTGCGACTTTTTTGGTTCAATAAACGTCATCACACAGTATTCGAATTTGCTTCAAATCGAATGTAAATTGTTCTAAATGTTAAAACTTAACACATTTAGTGTGTTACCACTTTTATTCCATGGAAAGTCAGATCCTGCTACTAATTAAGGCTGCTTCTATTTCTCTTTGAACAAAAAGGAACGATGTTTCCTCATGCCATATTTCAATGTAAAAAAGAAAACATTTTTTGCAGGATGGTTGGTTCATAAAATATTTGCTCATTTATATATATATATATATATATATATATATATATATAATGTACTCTGACTGCGCCACTCCTTACCCAGCCACGACGAGGTTGCCGCACCGTTGCGTGCCGTTGCAGCTTGACGGATACCTCTCCCTGAATACACTCGAAGCTCATTATTACAAAGTCACACCTGCCACAAAAGTAACTTTGATTATATTCGAAAATTTGTTATAAAAATCTATCTGTAACACTGTCTTCATTTGCTTTGTTACATCAGAGTTCTTACTTTCTTTGTGCCCTCAGGGACAAGGGCATTGCAGTGAAACTTCAATGTAATCAACAGAAACATAACAAATTATCGGTTATAAAGAAGTAAATGAAGAATAGTAGGCCTGTGCGAATATTCGAACGAATAATTTAGTATTTGAATTCGCTTCAAGTCAAATTTAAGTTATTGAAAATTTTGAAAAGTTTGAGACAAACGAATAAATGCATACTGGTCCACATGTTACATCCTGCAAAGGTGGTTTCACTGCAGTGGAGGGGCGCTTAGCCACGAAGGCGTTTAAACAGGCACATGTTATTTCGTGTGTAACTTTTGTAAACGTAGTTTCACTGCGTTGAAGTGATGCTGAGCCGTGAAAACACGTATCCAGGAGAAATTATTGCTGCCGTGAAGTTTTGCTATAAGGTTAAATGACGGTATTACCCTCGTATTGATACATTTTTTCACATCTTTTAGTTTAAAAGCTTGTTATACCGACTTATATGCTTGTTCTGAGTATAGCAAATTTTAAAAAGTAACATATTTTTCAGGATATTACTAGAATTTTAGCGAGTCATATCCTGCTACCGTTCAAAGTCGTTTCTACTTTCTTTAATGCAAAAAAATGGCATTTGCACAGGCCTTGTTTCGAACAGAAAAATATTGAGCAGGTTTGTTAGGTCATGACAAACACACCCATTGTTTTCTTTATAACATGCGATATACATGCTGTTTGAGTTTGATTCACAATCATTCGACCAAAATCATTATTCGCTTTGAATTCACACATTGAACCGAAAATTCACTATTCGCACAAGCCTAAAAAATAATTTCTTCATAATTGCAGTGTTAGGAATATACGTTTTATAACAAATTTTCAGATATAACTAAGTACCTGTGACAGATGTGACTGTTTTAATGTGGTTTGGGTGTATCTTTTCTCTACTTCGTGTTCCTAGAACTCTGCCTCAGTGCAGTGAACTTTGTTTATTCAGGATATCAATATAAGGGGGGACACTGGTCTTAAGAGGAGAAGCGGGTCTTTCAAACTGAAAATCGCTAAAAAAATATGATTTTTTTGAAAATGCTATATTTGCATTCTCCCACTATCACTGCATAATCTCACCAATTTTCATGCGTCTTAGATTGGTAATTTAGCCATGAGAATAGTTTATGGGACATTCGTAAGCTGAATTTCTGCCAATGGATGCGTGAAAAACGGGCTTTTTCACTGTCGCGGTGTTGCCGTTCTTTGCTTGCTTACAGCAGCCGTCTTGGTCGCATTCAAAAGAGCCGCCCTTTTTCTTTCATATCCCGCCGCGCTTGTTTTCGTCCACTCAGTATGCCTGCCGTGAATCCCCATAAAAAAAAAAGCCCCGTCGCGTGAGCCTATTGGTGTGGTGAGCACACGTGACTAAATTGCGCCTTCCGATTTGCCGGGCCTCCCAAGCTGTCTGCTGCGTGCGGCAGCGGAGCGCGCGCGAAGCGGCGAGTGTATCTTACGTGAAAAGGAAACTAATAGCTCGCTGCTCTTGCAGCCTTGAAATTGATCAGCGAGTGCGCGAGTTCGGTCTGCGACATCAACAGCTCAATCTGGACAAGCCGGAAAACATCGCTTTATCATACGATGGATCGCAAATGACGCGCGCACATTCGTCGCACATAGGCGTCACCGAACTGAGACGAGCCCAAGGCGACCGCATCAGCAGCTCGCAAGGTGCCTTTGCGGAAAACATGCAGTGGGCATTGAAAAAACGTCGTTTAGGTGACGCAACACAGAAGGACTACATGCCTGGGGCCTACTGAGAAAGCATAATTTTCAAATAATTGTAAATAAACAGCTTTTCCATGCTACTGTCTGCCCAAAATAAACTTGTGTTTTTGCATGATTTCTCAGGATTGAAATTTTGCTGCAGTTGTAAACTTGTCTAAAAGATATCTCTGCCTCCAGAGCAGCTAGGACTGTCATTTTTGTTGTGACATGTAGCTGTATCTTTAGTTTACACAGTGGTAGGTGTGAATGTTTGATTGAGATCTTCAAAAATTTTATTTTTGCCAGTAATTGGAGCATAAAGTGGGTGTGTCTGCAACACTGAAATGCAAGGTGCGAGAAACCTTGCTAAAATTATCAAATCAGAAAAGCACTCCTACTGTTGTGTGGCTTATGTTCATTAGTAAACGGGCATGTGCCAATAGTAGCTCTGCAATACAAATTTCTTGTCGTCATACCGGCAAACAATAGGTATTTAATTTTAGGATGTCTCAAAATCCAATCGGTTTAGAGTAAAAGTAATTGAATTTTGGAAATCGGCATCGAAAACTCAATCACACTGTGAATTTTATTTTAAACACATGAAAATATCTTGCATTTTTTTCTCAAGTACAGTGTCCCCCCATAAAGGAAGTCTGCAGATTACTGAATTTCTTTCTTTTTCCCTCTTGTTCTTCTGTTTAGCTTACTTTAGCTGAAACTATAGAGGCAAAGTATGATTGATGCAAACTTTCTACTATATTCTACCATGTATGATCTAGCACAACCTCAACAAGAAGCCCAGAAAGAAATTTACATTTGTAACCTGCTGAGGCAATGGCATACAGTTAATCAGGTGAATAAGGAAGCTGTGAAAATAAACTGCTTTTGTATATTAATTCGTTATCTTTTGACAAATGGACAGCCTGCTTTTTAAACATTTGACTATATCGAGCAGATGTATTGGTTATGCACGAACCCCGCTGTCCGGAACGTCCGCGCTTTGCAATCAATCATTAGGTGCTAATACTGTTATCCTCAGCCTCGTTTTGAATAGGAAGTGAATTTTCGCACCAGCCTAACGTGTAATGCGTTGTTCAGTGTCTATGTGTCAAACGTCTAGATGAAAAATTTTGTTTTGCACATACCAATGTCTTTTCTCGCATTGCTTCGCGCAGGAACCAGCACTTGTCGTTTCAATACACGGACCCCGTGCGCAACTTTGACCGACGGAAAGTCTACGGCCTTGTGTGCGACTTGTTCAAAGTGAAGGACCAGCGTGCTACCCGTGCTCTTGAGATGGCTGCCGGAGGCAAGGTGCGTAGCCAGCCTGTTCTTTCTTTTTGAAATGGGCCCTTGCAACACTTTTCTGAGCAATCGTCGAATGGCCTCGTGAGTGCTTTCTCTCGCCTTTCTCTGGTCTAGTGGTGGTGGTGCTCGAATGCTAAGCCGCAATTCACGGAATTCAATCTCGAGCGGTGCAGATTCAGGTGCTCGTTTAAAGAGTCGGTTGAAATTTCCGTAGCCCTCCACTACGGCATCTCTCATAATCGTATGGGGGTTTTGGGATGTTAAGCGTCAACAATTATATTAATGTTTGGTGGTGCGTTTCTTTATATACTAGCGAATTCGCAGATACTCAATTTTAAATATCATAGTGTTTTTATTACACTGTGCTGACAATGCAACACAATGCACAAAAAGCAGGTGTTTGCTACGCTTTGCTGAAACGATACGGTACTTCCACTTGAAATAATCTTCACTCTGCAGATTATTTCATTTTCCAAGATTACTGCCAGATGGCACTCATGTCTCACACAATGCCTCCAGGATGCATTCGCCCGTGTTCTCATGCAAAACATCAAATAAACATTTTATTCTCCTTCTCCTATCATCTTTTGACAACATTTACAGCCAGACACGCAGATACACGGCCAATCATTATTTTAATGTTTGGCCTACTTTCAATGTGATCATGAGCACAGGCACGTCGTGGCATTAGCAGGACTAATAGATCATTATGCCTGTCACGGCTGCGAAACAAGGCACAACGCGGAGAAAACAAATGTGTGTTTGTGTTTTCTGGTGCCAGCCACTCTGGTTTTCAGAAGGTTTACGCGAAAAAAAAGGTGAAAAGTAGCTCTATCTTTTCAACAAGGTTGTTAAATGCCAGCCATGAAGGTAGCAGCGTCATGTCTTTTTTAGCAAATGAAACATGCACAGGCACGTGACCCATCGGTGGGTCATGGTGTACCTGGAAAATATTTGTGGAGGGTCCACTTGTGGGTCACTCTGCACGTAAAAGATTTCCAAGAGAGTGGGCAGCAGTGAACACGGTTTGGACTTCTTATAGTGCAGGTTACAATGCAGTTGTAATGAGAATGTGTGGTTGTATGTAGGTTTGGGGGTGCAAACAGTCCCACCAATTGACAAGGCTGTTGGCAGGTTTAGGAACAACACTCTATGAAAACATGAAAAACACGCACAAAGAAAAACAGTGCAAACAAAAGGAAAAGAAAGAATAAACTAATAGCAGTTTCTAATAATAATAAGTCTCGGTTAGAAGTCACTCTAGGCCAACACAGGATCACCCATTGGGGAGTCAAACGCTTTGGGTGACACGAGCAGACATGTGACATTGGAAGCCTTGAAGAATTTGTAGATGGCTTCTGAAAGCTAATAAGGGTTGACAAGGTTGACAACGGTTAATGGCTGACAAGGTTCACGAAGTGAAGTGTCAAAGCCAGAGAACGTCAACCATCGGACCAAGCTTGTAGTTTAAGGGGGCAGACTGGTCTTTGGAACCAAGAAGTGACAAAAAAATTCATATTTTAAAATTGGCATATTTGGTTTCTGCAAGTATTTTCCCATCTCTCTGCAAATTTTCACACACCAGGAAGTGGTAATATTCTTGTAATGTCATTCTAACTGTCCAGATTCTTCGTACTGTTAACATGCAGAACATGCAAAAAAAAGGGGGTGGGGGGGAACCGACTTCGAGGCTTCTTTATAATTTGCTGGCACCTGTGTTAGAAGCTCTGCTACAAATTTATGAGCACCTTTATGAGGATTGCAAAACGTGCGCACCGTGATTGTTGCTTTTTGAAGAAGCTGTGTGTTTTCAGTTTTTTCCATTTTTCTCAAAAAAGTATACTTAGGACTGTTCGATTTTGAGGCCTCAATATCTCTGCAGCTAGGGCAGGCACAACAATAATTCTTTTTGCAATGGAAACCTGCATTTGTGTAGAATGCAAGTATGGGAGCAGAATTCAGAGCACATGTCTTCTTAATTAATTAAGAAGAAGCACCATGACAAAATGGCTCACGTCTCTGCACGTCACAATGAAGAAGCAGACGCCAGAAAAGCCGCTTGGCCAATCGGGTGCTTAGGTTTTGTCACGTGCCCCTAGTAGCTAATAGAATCACGCGCTGGTGTTTCTCAATGACGCGATTTTGCTGAAAAGCCAATGAGCAAGGCGAATTACTGGTGGCGGGAAATTGAAAATGAAGAACGACCCTTCCAAACGAGACCAAGATGACCATGATAGCTTGTGTGTAACGACAACGGTTCGGCGTGGAAAAAGCGCGACTTTAGCGTCTAGTTGTGCTGAGATTCATCTCACAGAGGTGTTATAAATTGATTTTGTGCCAGAAATAATGACGCGAGCAGCTAGAAACCTCAATAAGTGCAAAAATAGTTGCAGATTCCAAAAATTGTCAACTTCAAAAAGTCAATTTTTTCGCGATTTTTGGCCTTTTAAGACCCGTGTCTCCCCTTAACTAGTGAACCATGTCCCAGAGCGTCGACACTCGGGCGCAGTGTCAAGCGCCCACCACCCTTTCCTCAAATGCACGTGACTCCAAGTGTCACCACGTTCGCACGTCCCTGCACACTGTTGTCTTTGTCGTCGTCTTCTAGCACACGCACGAAACTAAGGTCGTGCACCTCCTTCGGGCACACATTACAGAGGTCTTTTTCGGCTCTTGTTTGCTCTCCCATAGAAGCCCCTCATGGACACATAACACGTAAAGTCCCCGAAGATGAACGACCAGTTATAATTCGGTTGCCGGAAATCTTTCTGACAGAGGCTGTGGGGGGCGCACTTCTAAAAGAGGTGTGCTACTGGGGAGAGAGCAAAGATGGTATGAAGGAGCAGGGAACAGTGAGTGAACAAATGAGGGGTGGGGGGAGGAGAGAAAAAAAAAAGATCACGGCAGCAGTGGCAAGTGACAAAGTAGAGCAGTTGCCTGGCACGACTCTGGCCACTTGCCAGCCACTAGCGCTTAGTGTGGAGCGTGCGATCGCTTTCCTTCTGGAAGAGTTGTCATAGAGTGCAACCGATGCCATGCTTGCATCTTTGTCCACAAATATAAACGCTTTATGGCTTTCGTTTTTGTTGACAGTACGTGGACTTACACAAGCTTGGCGGCCTTTTGTCGCAGTTGATCGGTCGGTTAGTTTCTGAGGGTCAACTTTTCGATGCTCAATCTTCATATTGGCTAGGATGACATGCTGCAGAATATCGGTGATACAATTACGGTTGATGCGAATTTCTTGATGATACGAATATTAATGTTGAGCAATGATAGAATTTTTTTTCTGTGTTCATTTTGTTGTCAATGGGATCTTTGGATGTTAATTTTTTTACATTTGAAAATTTAAAGTTGCTTCGGACGGACTACATTATATGAAATACTCTGTGATTCGGTGCTATACGAACGGTTTCCCCAGCAATCGAAGCTGATACGAAACGCACGATTGACCGCTGCACGCGAGCGGCACAACGTGGCTTGTCTGTGGGAAGAAGACCCTTTCACAGTTGGACTCCAACAGGGTGAATGCGGCAAAGCTCACTGGAATTTCGCTCGCTGCGCCACCGGAAAAGTGGCCGGAAAATGGTGCCGCGAGGTTGACGCAAAAAAAAAATCGGTTCAAGACCAATTTTGTCGCCACGCAATAACGGATCACCTTTCTGCTACAGCTTTCGCTACACCAGCTGTGCTAGCTCTCAAACCACGTGATGTAAACAACCAGCCGTATATTTAAGATAGCAGCCAAAGCGTCGGCGGGTGCTGGCTTGTGTCTGCACAATCGCGAACTACCCGCGCAGCACGACAAATCTCACAGCCTTGAAAAAGACGCGTTAATTGAGTGTCTGGTTCGCATCGCGATCGCTGCTAACACCAGAAATAGAAGAAGGTGCAGCAGCAGTGAGTCTACATGCCCTAACGTATCTCGCTTTTGCACTGCCGGCTGGATCCGTCTCCGCCGCTGCCAGTGTGTCTGCTCGTTCCGTTTCTTCTGACGTATCTCCTGAGACGTTTATAAAGGTGCAAACTGTTTCTTTTCAGTGCTTTGCGTGCATAAGTAGAACTCATTGGGAATTTTAATGCTCGGGAATAAATTTTCAAGCGGCGAAGATGGCGACAATGACATGTATACGAGGGGCAGATTGAATGTGAACATTTTCGATGTGCACGGACGTGGTTTTGCGGCCGCTCTGGCGTTCTCGCTTGAATTCTCGAGTGTGAATTTCCCAGGACTGATTTTTCTTGATGTCACTTTCGCGGCTCAGTTTTCCGGCCATTCAAGAGGCGAAGCGAGTAAATTTTCAATGAGTTTGGTCACTTTCGCTCGCTTTGATGTCACATGTGAACTTTCTGCGCCAGCAGCATGACTGAGGAAACAGCGGCACTTTATTGAGAGGTGGTGAAAGCAGGAAAGTTTGGAAGAACATCATGAACTTTTTTCAGCGTAAAGTAGTTGACCCCAATAAAGTTCTTGTTCATCTTCATGATCAGCTTTAGTTTGTTCTTGGTTCATACGAATGTGGGATGATACGAGTATTTTGTGTGGTTCCTTCGAATTTATTATTGAGATTCTACTGTATCTGTGACAACATTCCACACTGCGGACTCTTTTCAGTTAATCATGGGCAAATAAGAATCAAGGAAACTCTTTGAAGTGGCTGTACTTGAGGGGAATCATTTTGTTAATCAAAACGAAGGCATAGGTGGCACGTCTTTTTGTGCATGCAGTACGCAAAATCAAGGAAGTCTGAAACGCAGTTGGCAATGGCGCTCTCTTTTGCTACCTCTCGTTTTGTTTTTTTTTCGCGTTCATTTTGTTGTCAACGGGATCTATGGGTGTTAATTTTTTTACATGTGGAAATTTAAATTGTATCTCGGGTCGCGTGCCTTTAATCTCAAACATGCACAGTTGCATGCTCAGTACAATTTTTACCTAAATGCAGCCTTTGAAAAAAACAAATGTTTTGGTTATAGTTTGATACCGTCTTTAGGTCAGATATTTGATACTCTGACGACATACGTTATAAGTGTTCTATAGCATTGTAAATTCCAGGCTTTGTGCTGCGCTCTTTGGTTCTCACGTTCTAGGGAGCCTGGTCTACCAATTTGCAGTGCTTTCTGATCTTGCTGAAATAGTGTTGCAGTGCCACTTTGACCTGATTATTTCTTTAGCATTGTTGATTTCATTGAATTCCAGTTTAACTGTGGTTTCACTTTCAACACAGCTCTTCAACGTCGTGGTTGACAATGAGGAGACGGGCAAGCTGCTGCTGAAGAATGGTCGGCTCAAGCGCCGCGTTACCATCATCCCGCTGAGCAAGATCACTGGACGCGACGTTGAGCCCCAAGTGCTCAAACGAGCCCAGAGCTTGGTATGTGCGAGCAGGTCTTGCGGAAAAACCTTGTTAATTTCCATGTCACTTTATGCAGATTAGTTGCATAGAGTTTCACGTTCTGGAGGTTGTGTTCCAGAGGGAGTTTTAGTGCTTGTCTGCTAGTGCCACTAGTACAGCGCTTCGTCCAGTGTAGAGGCAATGGGTATTTAAACTGTCTTCCAGTTTCTCAGTGTCTTATTTCAGTCTATTTTAACATTAATTTTCATTTTTGAGGTCATTTGCCATCTGCACGATAGATGATACCACAATCACATTGTCAAAAAAAAATAGCTTTGTCAATGCGCGATTTCAAAGTGGCAGTATGGAAACCCTTTTATAACAATAATTAAGTGCCACGAAAATTCTACTGTGATGACTGACAAATGTTATAAATGGGTTGCATAAGAAGCAGAAAAAGTGAAGCAGTCGGAAGCTAATCTTTAGGACATGCTTGAAAATTGAGACGCTTTTGGGGCGCTGTCACAAGTCTTATAGATGGCAATGTACAAGAACATCCGAAATTTTGGACGTTCTTATACATTCTTCCGAACCTTGAACACCCTAATTTCAGCACTCTTTGTGCAAACTGAAAGCAGCAGTACCAATAATTGAATCCCCCACCGCTGTTCGAACCAGCGATTCCACGAGTTTACCAAATTGCGGCCACTGTAGAGCCCGAAAGGTTGCTTTGCCACAATGCCAAAGTGTAATGGGGCTGAGCTAATAAAAAAAAAAATCATAAGGGCTTATTGTCACGACGCCGTGCGGTGATGTCCTTACGGATAAGTGCCAGAAATGTACAGAGGCATGATATCGGCAAACATATTAGCACAGCTTCACTGCCGACAACCCATTTATGAGCATCTTGAGCGAACTGCATGGTAGTGCATGGGGCCTGGCACAGTTGTGGGCTTACTGCATGCATTTAAAGGTGATAACCCAGATGTGCCATGCCGCCGTTCGTGGTGCCTCGTTGTGCGAGACCGCCAAGTGTGCCGTACAGACGGGTTGTTGCCACACCCGTGTGCGGTCGCTTTGTCGGCAAACGCGTGCGCATGGTACAGCAAGGCTCCTGGCAGTGACAGTGTGATCTTCGTAGGCGACGTGCTGCACACAAGTTGCTGCAGTAGCCTATCAACTTGAGAAACTCTAAGCTGAGATTGCAGCAACTGTCACGCCATGTGCTTCTCAGTGACTGGCACAAGCCTTGCCTGTTATACCGTATGAACACGTGTAAGGGCCGCACCCGTGTACGGGCCGCACCCCGTTTTTCTGAAGTACTTATTCGAAAGAAGAAAAAAAAAATCCGCGGGATGCTGCACCCACAATTTCATTGACCCACACGTATTCAACATACGCGCACATGCAACTTCTTAAACATTGTCAACAGATGGCGCGAAAAAATCCAACCATCATCATCATTATATTGTACAGCGGCAGCACTACGTCACTAGTATACTTTGTGGAAATTTCTTCGTGCCAAGGTGCTCTTTAAGTTTGCTAAATATTTCAATTCAGTGTTTATACCACATTTACCTAAAGGTTAAACCGGGATTTTATCTTTTGCGTCTCGCACTTCTATACAAACGTGCTATCCATATCTATCGACTTAGCATCACCAATCTCACACCTCCATGTAAATGGTGTTTTCAGTGTTATCTGGTTCAGCCGTCTAGTTGTGCACGCTGTATTCTCGCTCGTGTTTGTTTGTGTACTGCCGAGCGTTTACATTGTGGCACGATGGACAAACACCCGAACAGCTACACGGCTGGCTACAAGTTAAAGGTGGTCGAGTTTGCTCTCGAACACGGGAAACTTGCCGCCGGCAGAAAATTCGACGTCGACTAAAAGTGCGTTTGACGATGGTGCCCGCCAAAAAAAGAACTGCAAACGACCAACAGCAAAAAGTGCCTTTTTTGAGAAAAGCCGTGCAAGTTTCCGGAACTGGAAGAAGACTTGTTCCGCTATGTGACTGAAGTGCGGAACGACGGATATGCACTGACAACAGAGATGCTGCACGTGAAGGCACTAGCCTTGGCACGTGCGAACGACACACCGGCCGGGACTTTCAAGGCTAGTGCTGGCTGGGTGCGACGATTCATGAAGAAAAAGGATCTCTCCTTTCGGCGAAGTTCTACATTGTGCCAGCATTTGCCAGAAGACTACACCCATAAGGTGCCCAGTTTCCACAAGTACGTAATCGGCCTTCGCCATGAGCATAATTATCTGCTGTCACAAATAGCGAACGCAGATCAAACCCCTGTGTGGTTTGACTTCCCGGAAAATTACACAGTGGAACAGAAGGGCAAAAAGAGCGTCGCCGTGCGGACCACCGAAGCGGAGCGCCAATGCTGCGCCGTGATGCTTTGTTTCACCGTGGACGGGCGGATGCTACACTCGTACGCTCTTTTAAAAAGAAAAAGAATTCCGAACAAAGTATTCCCCAAGGGAATCATTGTTCGAGCCCAAGAAAGGGGTTGGATGAACGATGAGCTGATTCTCGGCTTGGTGAAGTGCGTCTGGCAAAACCAACCTGGCGCGTTGTTGGCCAAACGGTCACTTTTAGTGCTAGACAGCTTCTGCGGTCACCTGACCGATAAGGGGAAGGAGCAGCTGCGCCGTGTCGGCACAGCCAGGGTCGTGATTTGGGGCGGCCTCACTGGAATGCTGCAGCCTTTGGACGTCGGCGTTTATCGACCTTTTAAGGTTGAATTCCGAAGGCTCTACACTGAATTGATGGCAAGCGGCAGCCACGAGCGGGCGCCGATCGGACGGCTGAAGAGTGCACCGCTTGCTACTGTTCTCAGTTGGGTACTGTCGGCGTTGAGCTCGGTGTCGACGGACGTCGTATCCCGAAGCTTTAAAGTAGCCGGCATATCCAACAGCTTGGATGGCACCGAAGATGACTGTTTGTTGGAGGACGATGCTCCGCAACAAGCCATCTAAGACCTAGAGTCTGGGGACTTGTTGAGCGACGACGATATATGCTGCAATAAACGTTCTTTGTTCAGTAGCTGGTACGTTCTCTCTCTCTCTCTCTTTTTTTTGCTTCAAAAAAATTTCATGTCGCGTGTATGGGGCCGCACCTTGAAAATTGGTCGTCGTTTCTTAAAAAACAAGTGCGGCCCTTACACGTGTTTATACGGTATACGTAATCCTTGCTTGTTATATACGAAGTCAGCAGAACTGCGCAGGAGGAGGGGTGAGATAGTTGACTGTGATAGCAGGCAATGATCAGTTGAGGTAATGCCATTTGTGTTTTGAAGGGAGGTGCGGAGTAGCCCGTTCATGATCAGAGGGGTGGAAGGGAAACGGGAGAAGCACACAAGGCTATCGATCGTGAGAAGGTTGCTGGTCAGCTGCCATTGCACAAGTGCGTGGCGGCCGTTGGCGGAGGCATTGCAGCTTGGATTTTTCACTTTCTTTTCAAGAACTGAGTGTTCCATTATCTTTTCGCACGGACACCTAGCAGCCACACCTCATTGTTATGACAGATGATTTGGCATGAGGGTTGGTGTAAGCAACTTATTTTATCGTAGAAAGCACACAAAATTGACTGTGCAGCAGCTTTTAATTGCTATATTGTTAAAACCGCTATCATTGTAAGTGGGTCAGACTGCGTTTGAGCAAGGACATCTTGCGTGACACGTTGCGCAAGAGAGTCTTGACGCTTTTTTTTTTCGGGTATTTCATAACCATCTTTTTTTTTATTACGGAAAATTTTACTTGAACGAATGCAATACATGGGTGCATTGTTTTCTAGGTTGGCCGAGACAACGTGTTCTCAGCGCTGTCCCTCGTCGACTACGCGCCACACCTGGCGCCTGCCATGAAGTTTGTCTTTGGCACAACGCTGGTCACGACAAAGATCGACGAGGCTCGAATTGTGGCGTTTGACAAAGGCGTGGAGAAGCGGACCGTCTCTTTCGACGGGGCCTCTTTCGACCCCTCAGGCGTCATCTCTGGAGGTTCGAACCTTAGCATTTTGCTCTGTGCCAGTAGTTGCGACATTTTTATTTGTTGATGCCTTCTTTGTGGTGACAGAAACCGCTTGGATGGGCTGCTTCTTTTTCCTTACGGATGACTTTATTTGCTTGTGAGCAATCGCAATGGTTCTTAAATTGAACAACAGTGTCGGTGCTGTTGGTCACTGTCATCAAGCCCAATCGAGATTAAATTTCTCAACAGTGATCAGCACTTTTGTGCACCTTGCATGAAGGAGTCCATCACAGGTGGGAAGTTTGATCCCGCTCAGTAATATTTAAGGTAGAGCTATCTTTGGCTCGGTCCCTCATCTTGTGTTGGTGTTGTACATTAATACATCTTACAATTGGGAACCTGTGCATCGATCCTTTAGGTATCTTTATGCACTATGGCATTAGTTGCGACGCTCTTGAAATTTCAGTTGCGATGCAAGATTTTTTTTGGCACTTAATGGAGCTTAGCAGGGTTCTCTGGGAGCAACGTGCTTGAGAACCCCTAATTTAGAAAGTAATTATGCCTTAATTTGGCAGCTGCAAGTGGAAGCTTTATCCTTGAATTATGGCAGTGCACTGCACTCGTAAAAACGTGGCAGACTCCAACTCGCGGTTAGAGGTCCTGCTTAACACCACTCAAGACGTCATGACGAAGACCATTGCCGAACAACTCCTTGCACTCCAGATAATGTGGGATTTTCATTCTTTCAAACATCAGGCACCGCACCACGACCATCGAGCTCACCTTTTCGGAGTCGGGGCTAGGCCTAACTCTGCCTGTGGCACTGCAGTGTACATGATGAACCCAAACGTGGTGCTAGTGAACATGTGAAAGTTAAAAGCCACAATGTCTTTCGTTGCAAACAAAAAAATGGCATCTTTGCTGATCCGCAGTGGGCCCCCTCATCCCCTCTTTTCTGGTACATGCTCATCGCGCTGTGACCGCCAGCAGAAGCGGCTAGCATTTTTACCCCAAAACACACAACCAAGCGCACTCACGCTGATTTATTGCAGTTTTATTTATTTCCGCTTATTACCACCCGTTATGTATGTTTTTTTTTTCTAAGGAAGTTTTAATGCTTCAAACACAGTTGAACCCCTTTATAATGCTCTGGGCAGCATTCCTCGTCTTCTATATGAGTGTTTCTTATAACCAGGGCACCTCATATGCATTTTCTTATCAACTTGTATTTCGATGAAGGCACTCTCTTAAGAAGAGGTTTAACTGCAGTAAAATGCCGGTGTGAATCGAATAGCATACACAAAAATATTCAAAAATATTCGCACATCCCTACTTAGAGTTAATCTGAGTAGTTCACTTAAAATTGCTGAAAAATGCTTCGGACAAGTGACCGACTTTTACGCCACGCAGTAGAGGGTGCCACTGCCACGATGAGCGCATGATTGCATCTCCAGCTGCACTTCAGCAGCACTTGGTTGCTATGTCTGAAGGACAAAACAACCTGACGTAACTCGCTGCAGACAACACATATCACAGCTGCTGTAGCTAGCAGCAATCGCATCAAAAAGTAGTGTGCGTCTTGCGGGCAGTTGGCAAATCTCTCTACCAAGATTCTGCTTGTGTCGACGAAACCCTGCGTGCTTACCTCAAACATTGTCGTTGACAATCTGGTAAACGGGGCAGTGGGAATGCTACAAGCAGAAATTGCTTGGCATCCCTGCTACGCACATGCTTAGATTTCACATTAGTAGAACTACTTATTATTATTACTATTGTTAACGCGATAGCGTTAAAGAGCTCGTGTCGCAGAAAACCCGGCGTCGGCCCCGTTGGTTGTGAGCGAGAAATCATCTGTGCGTCTGTGACTGAAAAATCAAGTTACCGAGATAGCCGTGGGAGGCCGCTACTTGTCCACGCGTGCCCGCGCGATCACACTGAAAAAGCCACGCATTCGAAGAAAAAAAAAAGTGCTCAAGGTCACAAGGTGCAGTAGTTTTTTTGCCCTGCCACCCCTCCCTGCTTAGCTTCCTGCGCTTTTCGGTACGAGAGAAGAGATAATGCAATTGCAGCATGCGACAAACCTTTGCAACTCCACTTGCACTGGAAAGATACTTAAAATTTTTGCGGCGTTGAATTCGTGAGGCAATAAGCTCTTCTAGGGAATTCATTTCATGGTTACTTGAAAAACTGTTTCAGGGCCCCTATAACACATTTTTTCTACAGGTGTCACGACGAAAACGAGCCCATTCGGCCATAATAGCGCGCACTAGTCCAATCTACTGTGTGCATGTTTGTGTGCGTGTGTGTGAATGTAATAAAATATATGAATAAGTATGCACTTAGCAGTTGAAGGGTGCACTAGGGGCCAGATTTTGTTATCGCGTTCAACTCTTAAAGGCAAAGCTTAAGAATCCCCTCGTTTTTAATATTATTATTAATATTATCATTATAATTAGACGATTTCTCTGTTTCAATGTTCATAACATCATTATCAGGTGAAACTGCTCGAGGTTGTGAGCTCGAATTCTACGTTAGTTCATTTTCCCTAATAAGATCCTAGCATGTGTGTGTGTGTTATCCCAAAAATGTATGACTGAGGTTTTACCGTATGAAAGGGCCTTTGGGGGAGTTACTATGTGGATGCTAGCTTGCGAGCCTTTTCTGCAGATGGGTGCATTGTTTCTTTGTTGCATGTGGTGCTGTCACGAGAGAGGAGCAGTTTTGTTAACTTGACACGTCTTCGCAATGTGGCATAGGTGCGCAGGCCAAGGGTCCCAGCACTCTGGAAATGGTCACCCAGATCAAGAAAGACCGCATGGAATTGGCATCCCGGGAGGAGGCCTACGCAAACATCTCCAAGGAGCTTGCTGGTATCCAGGCAGTGGCACAAAAGTGAGCGAGCTCTCCTGATGCCTGCCAACCCACACACGTTTTTCGTAAAGATTGCTAATGCCCGTTTCATGCAAGCGCTTTCGAAAAGCGATGGAGACGACGGGCGTCTGAGAGCGGCGTCTCCATCGACTCGATGGAGTTGCCGCGCTGTTACGCTGTAGTTTTTAACGGTCGTTGAGTTATTCAGGTGTCTCTCACGAAAATTGGGGGGGGTGCTGCAAATCTTTATTTTCACTTTCATTTTGTCTTAAGTGAAATAACATAAATTCATTTGAAAGCGTGCATACGTCTGTTCTTTTTTTGTAAACCTTTGAATAAATTGTGTAAAGTAGACTTGCGATAATTCAAACTCTGATAAATCATACTTTTGGTTAATTCAGAGAATATTCAATTTTTTGGTTGACACCCTATTTTTTAATGTATTTAAATGCCTCTTAATTGAAACTCTATCATTTGGTTGATTACACTTTTTACAGGCCTATACCAGAAAATTTCTGCTGCTTCCCCACTACTATTTCAAAATTTGTGTTGTTATGTAATCCTAACAGTCTAAAAGTGAAACATAAGCACCTAAGGCCTTCAAGGAAAAAGGCTTTGCAAGTAAAAAAATGTTTGAAACAAAACACACGCATGATAAACAGTGATGATTCTCAGCTGGTATTAAGAGCTTTGTGCTGAAGGCACATATAGCAATGAAGCAGTTGGCAATTCAAGATTTCTTTTAAGAGGTCTGATCAGCAATAAATTGCCAATAAACCTGTAGACTTTACACCTTTGCCTTTTGTTCATTGCGTGCAGTTAGGGTTTAAAAACGCTTAAAAAAATTTTAAATGTGATAAAATCAATGTCTCTAATCATAATGTGTGGTATCATTGTGTGTGGTGACCCAGAGTTGTATAGCTGAGTTCTGATAATTCAAACTTTCTGATAATTCAAACGAAACACAAAGGTCTCTTCAAGTTTTAATTAGCGAGAGTCGACTGTAGTGCAATTTTTTTTTTTCGAATCAGGGGTTCGGGCACCAAGTGAACAAGAGTGTATGTATGTTTACATTGTTTTGCTTATCCGTCTAAATAGCCATCGAAGTTTCAACGGAAGTGTTGGGTGCTCTGTTGGCTTGATAGGCTATTGATTCGATAGCCGTCGAAATCGCCCATGTGGTAGCTTGTGCTTGACAGTTGAGTCAACAGACCATCGGTTCAATGGCCTTCCAAACCACCCGTGTGACACCGGTACAACCTGTCATTCGTTTTTCAATCTTACTGATGTTCTGTCTGTATTACTTCAAAACATGTCTTCTAAAAAGTTTTTCTTTGTCCATAACCCATTTCTTGAGTCTCATCATTGGTAAATACCAAAGCATGGTTTTTATACTTGCTTTGATAAAGCTCGCGCATATCACTTTCTGAAGTAGGTGAAATGTGCAATGGCAGTTGGGCTGCTAAAGGCATTGCAATGTAAATATGTTACAGGCGAATCCCATTAATTCGAACACACTTAATTCGAACTCACGCTGAGGTCTTGTCAAAGCTATGTGTATTCCAATGGGCAAAAACACTTTGTAATTCGAACGCGCGAGCACTTGCGATGGTTAATTCGAACATACCGCATTCCGAAAATGCTCTCAGCACCACACCCGATCCCGCGGCGGCATTTCTGACACCCCAACGCTGCTTGCAAAGGACAAGAAAAGGCTGCGGTGGAATGTTAGCTCTCTTTCAAATGCTGATATGCCACGCGCCTGTACCATGCTTCTCCCTTTTCCGTCCCTGTCACGTAAAGACCCTTCTCCTTTCATTGCCGTGCGCGAAGAGAGAGAGAGAAAAAGAAATAATGCTATCGCAGAGTGTTGGCTCTTTCTCGCGCGCCAGTGCCACGCTTCCCTTTTTCCGGTCCCTGCGACGTAGACCCTTCTTTTTTTCAACGATGCGCGCCAAGAGAGCAAAAAAAAAAAAAAAAAAAGCTGCTGGGGAATGTTGGTTTTCTCAAATACCAATCCACTTTTCTCCGTGTGGAGATGCTCCTCCTTTCTCGTTACGTGCTGGCCACACTGCGGCTGCGTAGCGGAGAGGCAGCTGGTGTTGTCGTTTTTAGAAAGTGTCGGCACTGGACACTGCCGCGCGCAACTTCTTTTGCCAGGAGAATGCTGAAGCCGAAGTAGAAATGCTTTGCAAGCTGTGTGCGAATTGATTGGCTCGCTGCAAGGCAAACGTGTGCAGACGCACATCACCAGTTACTTCAATTATGAATGGATGTCCTGTGATTTGTGAATAAATGTAAGTCTTCTGAAACTTCCCCCTCGTGTGTTAGCTCAATGCACATGCGCCACTGCATGGTGAGCCCTCCGTTCATTTAGCTTTCATTAATTCGAACTTCTTTTAATTTGAACAAATTTTCGGGCCCTTTCGAGTTCGAATTATCGAGATTCGACTGTAGCTCACTTTGTGCTGTTATAAGTTAATTAGCTTGTATGTTGAATTCACTGGTAAATTATCGTTAATAAGATACCTATGTTTGTGCAAAAAGGCATTTGACCGGAACAAGCTTGAAAACATTCAGGCTGTCCCTTCTGCGTAGTTGCATCGGTTTATCAATTTTAAACTTGAGTGACTTGCTGGAATAAGGCAACTTCCCGCCTAGAATGACCGTGAGCTTACGCGCTCGGAAGACTGTTTTGTTAATAAACGTTTATCTTGGCATCTTCACTGGCTTGCAAGTATGTGAGAATTGAAGGCTGGGGTGCAATACACCATCGGGCACATAATTATGTCATTTTCTCTGTGCAAGCTATTCGGCAAGACCGTAAAAGCAGCCACAGTGAGGTCATTTATTGAGGAATCGCAACATAAGGAAAGCTTCGGTTTGATATCAATGCTGTCTCTATGTAATGCTGGATGTGTGTGCGTTGCCTCTCTGTCCAGATACAACCGGTTAAAAGAGGAGTCGGACTTGAAGGAGACTGAGCTGGAGCAGCTGCGCAGTCGACTCCAGCAGAGCACGCACCACCAGCTCCTGCAGGAGTACCAGGCCCTTCAACAAACCATTGGTGGGTTTTGCTGTGCTTGCAACAGCAATGGTGGCTGTGCGCCCAGCATGTTGTACTGCCGCAGTGGAGAACGATTAGCGCGTGTGACCGTGACAAGAAACATCCAGTAGCATCTCGGGCTTTGAAATCGGCTACTTCTTGTTTCCAGCCACTCCCGCTTTCATGGGTCCATCGTTCCAGCTACTCGCTTCTTGTCGCACTGGAATTGTGACTTTTCTCGCTGTGGTGTTTGCCACTTGTGCTTATCTTTTTTTTTTTGTTGTTAGTTCTACATTGTACTGTCATTAAAGGGACACTAAAGAGCCAGACGCTTTTTCGTGTATTAGTAAAGGACGATTTCCCAATCCTGAAAACACCACTCTTGGTGCGACACAACACAAGCGAGAAAACACGCGAGACGCCACCTTGAGATTACCGCATCAAACACCGAGACATCGTCAATTTTCGAAAGCATCTACTGGATTCTACGTAACTTCTAATCGATAAAATTGAAGTACATTGTAATCTGTGGGTGCCGTAGAATTAGCATATGAAGTCTCAGGAAATTTCATCGAGCCAGTGTCGCGAAAATACGAAAGAAACATTGTGGAATTTCTTACGTCACGCGCGGAGCTTACGGCACGAAACTTCAACTTTTATTTTCTCCGCTAATAATGAACTTATGATGGTGAAACTTGCAACATTGAAGTTCTCATAGTGAGGTTTATCAATCTAAAACAACTCATTGTTTCTCTTTAGGGTTCCTTTAAGCCGCATGATCTCATGCTGCTAAGCATCGAAGAGTGGTTTTGATTTATGGCCAGAGCTGCCATGTTTTAATTGGACGAATGACTGAAAAACACGCATGCTTAGCAAGTTAATCCAGTACCCTACATTGTAGCACCTCGAACAACTCCAGCGTTACTTTTGTTGACCCGGCAGGTACAGAGATGAACTGCTGAAATCGGAACTCTTGACAGAGGCCAGGCAAATGCATAGTGAACTGATCAAGCTAGGGCCAAAATGTCTCTCAAAAGTCATGAAATGTGCTGCTTCGTGAGCTCGTATTGCTCCATTGTTGTTCTGGACTGCTTCAAAATGATGGCGCAGGACACAAAATACACTGAGCCTCATTTAACAAAGTTGTATTTTACACGAAGTTAAGTTCATTATATTTGAGAATTCGTTACAAGGGTTTATTCCTAACACTATATTGTGAGACTATTTTTATTTAATTCGTTGTAACCATAGCTCTGCTCACTCATGAGTGCACTCATACACACTCACTCGTACTCATTTAAACGTGGCGATTGTGAGTAGTGCGAGTATGAATGTGAATGAGTACTGATGAGTGTGGGTATAAGTGAATACTCATGAGTCTGAGTAGAAGTGAGTATGAATGTGAGTGAGTACTCTTGAGTGTGAGTGGACGTGAGTGGGAACGTGATTGAGCACTCAGGAGAGTGAGTAGGCGTGAGTATGAACGTGAGTGAGTAGTTATTAATGTGTTCAGTCGTCAGTATGAACGTGAGTGATTACTCATGAGTGCGAGCAATCGTGAGTATGATCGTGTGTACTCTGCAGTGGGAGTAGGTATGCTGCACAGCGAAACTGAGACCCACGCCCACACAAACACACACACATACTTGCACACTGAGTGATCGTGCTGAGGAACTGAAAAGCCCTGATGGTGCTGGCGTAATCTAGCAGCAGTTGACTAGACAAGCGACATGGGGCCGCTAGAAAAGGTGCCTTTGCGATGCCGTGTTTGCTCAGTAACGGACGTTTCAGGTTGGAAGAAAAAAAGGAAGCAGGACTAACAATCGGAAAATATTTGACATTTCTTCAGAAGATAACCGTCTCTTGTGCAGCGTGTTTCGATCAGCTAGCGTGTCGAAGGCGCCGCCGGGTACGTGGAACATGACGTTGCTGGCATTCTGATTTTGCACTGTTCGTGTACACTGTGTGGCTCTGTGCCCTGGCGCCGCGGCGCACCATCACGTCGTTGCTAACTTTGGCGACGACACTTCCTCTGTGCTCGATCTGTTGGGGTGTGCTGCTTTTTTTTTGGTAGTATTGCGTTCGAGAAAGAGTTTTAAAAGGTCACGGAAATACAGAATGCAAATATGGTGCGGGACTACGGTACCGCTTCTCTCCTCCCATTCATTTTGGTTCACTCTTAATTCCAGTAAAGTTGCCCCAACACTACAAAGGCTTTTTCAAAAATTACTAGGGGGTCATGCCTTATTGTTGCCTGTCATCATGCACATTGTTCACGATGCACCTGTCGATCGCGGAGGGGGAAGGGCCACTTAAACAATACACTTTTTTGTGCGCGTTAGTTCATTCTGGAACAGACTTGAGCCCATAAAGATGAGATTTGAGAAGAGAAGACGACGATGCATGAGCGCTCGTGTAGTCTCTTTCTCTTCTTGTGACTCGTCAATTTGCACTCAGATCTATTCCAGGACGCACTTTTGAGCACAATGAGCTGGAGAGAAGGAGCGCTGCCATAGTGCCGTATCGTGTTTGCGTAACTTGCGGAAGCTCTTCAATGTGTACTTTTCAATGTGTACATCTTCAGTTCCGGTCGTGCTATGTTGTACGCGGAGGCTCCGTGTTTGAAATTACGCTTGGAGGGAGGCATATTCTTGAAGCTGCGGACACAGACAACATGCGCCCAGATAAGATCTAACATACGCCTCATAATAGACCAGTTCCTTTGGGCGTCCGCAACATCTCTGCGGATGCAGCCTGCCAGCCAATGTGAATGGCATGCTGGGTCTGCAAAGCTGTTGTGGAAACGTCAACTAAATCTGGTCATTTATCTAATGGCAGCGTGCGCACGACGGGATGCTATTGCATATGCCCAAATAAAAACTTCAGCTGCTTTGATGTGAAACACTAAAAAAAAAAAGCGCAGCCTCCGCGACATGCATATTAAAACCGAAAACGCTATGAATACGTCCCGAGGTTGTACATTTCGAAGGCCATGCTTTTTCAGGCTCGCATGCCATTGAATGCTAACAAGGACAGGAATGCAAGCATCGCAACGAGATCGCCAAATCACTTCGCATTTTCATTTTAGTGTCCTTGGCAATCAGACTTTTTAAAAAAACACTATCCCAGCACATTAAGACCAGGAAATCGCTCATTAAACATACTGATGCACTCGCAGGCTCCTCGCAACGAACCAGATCAGCGCGATGTAATAACACCGCCTTTTCGCCACCTGCGCACGAAAAAGGGATTAGAACTTGTCGGAACGCGGACGAAGATTGATCAGTATTTTCTAGGGAAAATGCAATTTTGAGCTTCCGTGCCGTAGTTGTACACCTACCAACAGCACGCGAGGGCGGGGCCTAGAGCCTCGTTTTGTTTACAACCGAGTCGCTAAATCGCTGCATTCACACATCATTGAATAGTCCTCATGTTTGTGAGTATGCCGAGAGAAATTTACGTGTGCTTGAAGCAGAAAGCGTCACCCACTCTGAAATTATTCTGGTGAATGTCTCTCTGGTCCTTCTGAAACATCCTGGTCACGGCACCATGTTTCAGAAGGACCAGAGAGACTGCAGAACCGATACGTCTTCGGTTTATTGTTGACAGAACAAGAATAAAAAAAAAAATAAACAGAGCGTGCCCTGGCCACTTCTTCTTTCTCGCCTCCGAGCTCCATCTTCAATCTGTTTTCTACAGAGGGTACGACGACAATAAACAGGTCTCATTACAATGCATTAGCAGCCGTGCAAGACCAAATGATTTCGTACGTCGTTTCAGGCATACGTAGAAACAGTTACACTCGCGCTGACATGACCGGACAAACCACACTTGTGAGAATGTGCATGATGTATGTGCACATATAAGCAGGGCGTGGCTAGCCGACGACCCACAGAGCAATCCACACTTGCATGCGTCACCCAGTTGCCGCCAGGCGGCAACTCCGCTCGTCCTGGCGGCCAATAGCGGATGTCCCGCTGTGCGGTAGTTCGATATGTGGGTGCATCGGTCCCATACTTTTGCATGCGAAATTCAAGGGGATTTCTCAACTGTTCAATTTAGCCAATAATTCCATATATTAGCGTTTGATATATCCGGGATGACTGTATAACAAAGTATTTTCATGGCTGGTGTGACTTAGTTATAATGAGGCTTCAGTGTGGTGCCGTTCATCACCACGATGGAGAGTGTGGAACACCGCTCTTTTGCCTTTACATTCACTTCGATTTCCACGCGTTTAATCGTGATTACCCCAGATAATATCCTCTATGGTTTTCCTCGCTTGATTGTCTGTTGATTCTAATTAACGTTGTCTGTCAAGAGATGGGTTGACTATTTGCCATGTTTGAAATGTGAAAAGCTAAGCGTTGCCTGCTCTTGTCGCTTGCAGAGGAGTCTAAAGCCAAGCTCCAGGCTTGCAAGGAGACTCAGAAAAAAGCCTCTGCCCGCGTCAAGGACCTCGAGGAGAAGGTCAAGGACTCCAAGAACATTCGAGACCGAGAGCTGAAGGCGGCCGAGCAGCAGATCTCCAAGTGCAAGAAGAAGGCGGACGAGTCGGCCAAGAAAGCCACTGCCAAGAAGCAGGTAAGGCCAAAAAAAACTAGGCCTGTGTGAATATTCAAATGCTTCCAATAGTTGAACGAATTATCACAGTATTGGAATTCGCTTTGATTTTAATTTAATTTACTGAAATTTTCAAAGTATTGAAATGAACGAATGAGTGTAAATTAATGTGCGTGTAATTCCCGTAATAGTGGTTTCGCTGCAGTGGAGAGGTGCTAAGCCGTGAAAGCACTTTATTACTGTAAATCCACACTGTTGCGAAGCCCCACCTACTTAAGGTTGAATGAACATATCACCCGCGCATGAATCATTATTTTTGACATTTTTAAGCTTGTTATACTGGCTTATATGCTCCAGATATAGTAAATATTAAAACAACATATTTTACAGGTCATCATTTGCATTCTACCAAAAGTCAAATCCTGCTACTATCAGGGGTGTAACAGTTGTGCCGTTTGCGCCATTGTGCACCCAGCATGCTTACCTGCGCCATCCTGCACTGAACCACCCTTGCTGCGCCAAACTCGGCTATTAGTGCCGTACTGTGCCGCAGCACCAGAATTCAGCCGCAAAGTGCAAAAGTCATCAAGCGCCGTGCCCAGAAATGTGGCTGAAACAACGCCTTTTTGGTTTCATCGAAACAGTTATTGTTTCGGTTTCGTAAAGGCTGTGATCACTCCAGGAGCAGCCGTGAACTTTTAATTCTAAGGGCGTGGCTGCGATTGCTATGTGCGCAATCACGGCTGGCATCAGCGCAAGTAGTTCGTGACACCTTCTATGTGCTGCGCTCTGAAGAGACTGCGAGAAGAGCATCTCTTCCTGGCACGGCTGTATTCTCTTACACCAGCATTTTGTAGAGTTACGCGATATTGGATCTAATTGAGTTGGCCGCCAGCCTAACTCAATTATCGCTACCGCATTCATTGCTTCACCGTTCTGGTGAAACTGTGTTTTATGACATGATGGCAGCGTTCAGAAGAGAATTAAAGATGGCAGTAACGGTGCCCAAAAAAAAGGAGGTGGCGTCCGGTTCCCCGAACAGCCTAGCTAAGACAGGTGCACGTGACTGCTCATCGAGCTATGCGCATATTCTTGTTCATTTGGCGGTAGTGCCTCGCGCTTATGGACTCCAAGGTTGACGCTCGCGCGTTCAGGTAAAAAAAAAAACATGGATGTGCATAATTAAGTCAGTCACAATTGCACCGACAGGGTGAAGCAATGATGGCAATTATTTATTTTATTTACAATACTGCTAGCCCCAAGTAGGGGTCGTAGCAGGGTGGATTGACACCAGTACATATCAAAATAACAATGAGAAAACAAAACAAGAAAACAAACATTGAAAAATACATCAGCACATCGAAACGTTATAGAAAGTGGGGCTGGCAGCTTGCTCTTTTGGATCCGATTTCACGTAGCTGGACAAAATGCTGGTGTACGAGACTATGGCCACATTAAGTAGAGCAACACTTCTCTCGAGCAGTCTCTCTACCATGAGAGCGCAGCACGTACAACTGTACGCGAGTCGCCCGCTGATAGCTGCCGAGCTAGGGTGCACGCTGGTGGTCGTGACCACGCCCTTAGAAGTAAAGTTCACAGTTTTTGCTCGAGCGACACCTGCCTCCTTTCATCTCTCGTTTTTTTTTTCTTTTCATGCTCTTCCAAGACGGGTGGAGTGCTTTTTTTTTTTTTTTTTTTTTTTTTTTTTTTTTTTTCCGTCTCTGACTGCAGGCCTACTCGGGCGGGCGTACTGGATGTTATGCACGTTCGCACGTGCTCTCCGAGCGGTGGAGATGGGCTGCATCGTTTCATCTCTGCTTCGACCGCGTTTGTCGGCCCCGCTCCCACGCTTTTACCCGCAGATAGAACATACACACAATGCACGGGGCTATGTTATCAATTTAGAATTTATGCAGCACATGACGGCAACGGCAAAAATCCCGTCGGGAGTGTCCATATAATTTATTTCACAATAATGAGGCTATCGCACAATTTAACTGAGTGTTTGAAAAATGCAGCATTGAACAAATGTTGCTTCACAAGTGCTTTGAACGGGGATACATCTGCTCTGAATGTTTTTACTACTCTATACTTGCTCAAAAAGGCCCTTTTGGCTGCTCCAAGGCTGCTACAAAAAGGATTTTTGCCTGATTTCGGGTCTGCTCCCAAACCCATGCACTCTGTTCTACCCCTGTACTATTCAAAGCTGTTTCCACTTCGTTTGAACCAAAAAATGGCATTTGCACAGGCCTTGTTTCAAATAAAAAATATACTGTATTTACTCGCGTGATCAATGCACTTCTTTTTCTAGAAAAATCGGAGCAAAGTTGGGGGTGCGTTTATTACACAGGGTAAATTTTGTGAAAACTTTTTTGGGAGGAGCAAAAAATGTGTTAATGCAAAAAATAAAGTTAGGTCGCTTAGTTTTTCGCAATTGACATTCGCGCACACTGTTTGGAAACAGCTCCTTTGTTGCACTTTACTCATCTTCAGTGGTTGATGGCGCTATCTTCTGCAAGCTGTCCCCCGGGCAGCCCGTGCACGCCATAAAAGCGTTTTGCGGCTATTAAAGGCGATAGTCTTTCTTGGAGACTTTCGAAGCAAAAATTTTGGTCTGTCTGTCTGCCTGTACATTTGTTTGTTCGTCCTTAACGGTGTGGGAATTGAGGCTGGCCCGCTGCCTTTACGCGGGCTTTCCCGCCTTTTCTGCCGGACAAGGCAGCGGGCTTTCCCGCCTTTTCTGCCGTTCTCATGTCCCTACATGTCTGCCCTCTTTGCTGTCTGCCGCGCGGGGAAGGGCGGAGTGACGTTTAACTCCCTCACCCGGAAGCGGATGTTGACTGTGGCGCCGCGCGCGGGGACCCCCGAGAGGTTTTCGCGCGCTGCGTCGGGAGCGGTCAGATACTCTCCGGGACAGCAAACGGTGAGCCACGCTATCTTTTCGTCCGTCGACTCCCGTCAGTCGGGGGCTCGTCGGACTTCGCTGACGGCGCCTCGCGCCCAAGGCGAACGCTCACCCGCTGTTTGCCCCGCTGCGTACGCACGGCCGAAGGGCGGTACGGTGTCCTAGTGCGTGGCCTCGCTACGCCGACCCGTCTCCCTTCGAAGCCAACGCGAGCGCCTTTGCCCTCGCTCGAGCAACCGGGCCTTTGCTCCGGTGTCTCCGTGGATCGGCTTTACCGCGGAGACGTGCTCGTGGCACCCCTGTGTAGTACTTTGTGCCCGTGGCGTGGATAAGCCTACTTGCTTTCCCGCCGCGCCTATTTGCAACGGGCTGTACTGCATTTGGTGTTGCCACAATAAAGTGTTGCGACTTGAGCAGTATCGTGTTTCCCGCCACGGCGACGGTTAACGCGTGCCCTGCGGCTCGCTAAGACCGGACCCACGCTGGTGGCCGTACTCCTTCGGGATACGTGTACACCACAACGGTACTGCGTATTCTAAACAGCACCAGCCGATATCCCAAACGGCCGACCCCGTCCGTAGCGCCCACCAATGTTGCTCAAGATTCAGCATTCATACTTGTGCGATTGTCAATTAAAAAGCAATTATTGCGCATATCTAAGCCACCGTAACAACACATATATATTCTGCATGGGCGTCTTTACTAGAAAAGGCATACATAAGTAATCCTAAGGACCGTAGCGGCTATCACGCTGCCCTGACCATGCAACGCTTGCACGAAAAGGCAAGTGTTTCCAACGCTTTGCTAAGACGGGTAGGTGCCACGGTGGTGGTAACTACCCGTCGCCTCGCGTTCTACACCTTATCACCTCTGAGACGGGCATGCGCGCCCGTCTCAGGGCCGTGCGCTTTTTTTTTCTAAGAAAACTGCCAGATGGCGCTCATGTCTCACGTGTGACGTGACTTGATGCGCTCATTCGCCTCCAATGCATTGCTCGAGGCACTCTAACGGCAGCGCCTCCAGAATACGTTTCACCGATTTTCTTGCGCAGAACATCAAATAAATGTTTTGTTCACTCTCTCCACACGCAGGACCATCGTCTTTCGACGACATTTGCAGATTAACATGCAGATACGGGGCCAATTTTTTTTTTCTCGCAATCATTTAATGATTGATTTGTGGGGTTTAATGTCCCAAAACCACCAAATGATTATGAGAGACGCCGTAGTGGAGGGCTCCGGAAATTTCGACCACCTGGGGTTCTTTAACGTGCACCCAAATCTGAGCACACAGGCCTACAACATTTCCGCCTCCATCGGAAATGCAGCCGCCGCAGCCGGGATTTGAAACCGCGACCTGCTTGTCAGCAGCCGAGTACCTTAGCCACTAGACCACCGCGGCGACGCAAGTCGTTTAACCGCAGCAGTGGTATGTGCTGTGATCTCGAGGGGTGCCCAAAAAAAAGCGTGCGCTACGACGCACTTTGCCAACTTCGCAGCAACCTCGCACAATGACCGTGACGACGCTGTTAACATTGTAGCAAGTAACCAACATTGTAGCAAGCTATTCCCCAAGCATCAAAACGAAACAGTTGATAACAACATTAACGACAAACGACCAAAAAATTTAATTTTGCTTGAGTTAACCAAAGGTGTAAATTGTCAGAGTTTGAATTATCGCGAGTCTACTGTACTACACTCATACCTTGATATAACAAATGCAGATATAATGAATAATTGGTTATAACGAAGTGACGAATAGCTGTGCCATGGATGCAGTATTACAAATAATCGTTTATAACGAATTCCCAGATATAACTTCATTTTTTTTTTCATGGCAGATCTGACTGTTATAATGGGGTATGAGTTGGATTCGAAATTATTCTACCAAAGGCACTATTCGCTTCGGACTTAAAATTCACTATTTGCACAAGCCTTAAAGAACAAGTGCAATATAGCTTGCATGGGTGATGCAAGGCTAAGGACTCGTTGTAGCTGATTAGCACTAGCCGGTGCTGGAATTTCGGAAGTGATGGCCTGAGTTTTGAATCGCTTACCTGCATGCAGCTGTTCCACGACTCTGTACTCGCGCAGAAAGAAAACAACTCGAAAAAAAGCATAAAAATGAAGACTTGAAGAACAGCGCTGACTTGCAACACTTCTTTATTCTAGAGCTGTGTAATAGTGCAATATTGAGTGCAATTGAATAAAATAATTTTCGTATTTATCAAGTTTTTGCTAATAGCGCTTTGCAACTAAATCACAGAAAAGTTGCTGAGAATCTCTAGGCACATTGTTGCTAGGTAGGAACATAATAGTGTTTCTTTTGGCTACGTTCATTAAGCTCTTGAGGAGTGTTGCTTAGATGTCTTGTAAAGAAGAAAGCAGTCTACTCTTTCAGTCAACTCACTTGCTTTTCGTGCATTATCATGACTATTAGTTTGCCATTAAATAAGCTTGCGCTCCTATATTGCATGTATGCTATGTGACTCCATTTCAATCGTTGCCCCCCCCCCCCCTTTTTTTTTTTCTTTGTTTGGGGTTTCGTAACATTTGAGGCAAAACTCGTTCTCTGATTGGCTGCAGCCGAATTCTGTGTGCTCCTTGAAGCACTAATGCCGTTACGTGTTCGCACCATAAAAAAAAAAAAAGTGTGAAACTGGGGTTGGCAAAGAGTGCTGTCATTTTCTCCCTCAGCGATACTACCGGAATTTAACACTACCAGTTCTGCCACATAGATTTTAAGTAACATTTGAGAGCCAACATCAATATTTTTTCATTGTGTAAGGAAATAATTTTGCTTGTGGGCTACATGTTTTGTGCGCTGTTGAGATTTAGAGCCTCGCTTACGCTGTGTCGGTTTGTGCTGTTGGGGGGGGGGGAGGGTGGAAGATGTATGTCCAACGCAACGTTCACGTTCGTCTTTTGTGAGATTTTCTTGGTGCCAGTGTTCATCATTGGGACAATGAAGTGGTACCTGCCTTTTAATGCAGTTTCCTGAAAACTCACTCATTCAGTACCAGTTGTTTGGGGTGTAGGCAAACTAAGATCGTGTAACAAGCTTCCAGCCACCAGGTCCAACTAAGAGGTCGTTAGCCATGTGCGGTAGAGAGCACTAACGGGGGGTTCTCTAGCGATTCGTTCAGTAGAGAGAGTGTTTCGTATGTTACCGGGTTTCAGTACTCCACTAAGTTAAAATGCATCATTTGGAGAAGTGAACACACGTAATGTTTACATATGCCATTCTTTAACATGGCAGCATCTGAGGGCACTGCTTTACTATAATTGTCAAGATGGCTCTGTCAGATCATCGCTAGTAAATGGGTGATTAAAGGGACAGTAAAGGCAAATATTAAGTCAGTGGTGATTGCTGAAATAGCGGTCCAGAGATTTCTTAGTATTGCTTTTGTGCCAAGCAAGAGCTTATTTTGTGATAAAATCGCATTTTAGAGGCCCCCATCGCGTTAGCGCACTTCAATTACCCGCCTCAAAGGGGACGCTTTTACGTCACTGTTACAGTGCACAACGTTGCCCGGTTTTACTGCTGCAACCACCGAAACTAGCAGCAGCAGAGCGAAAGTAGCGGGAGCCACAGCAGCAACAACAGCCATTGAACAATTTTCTGCCATGGTGTCTGAGTTGGCAGGCATGCTTGGTTCAACTGAACTCAACTAGAGGGCACGACCTGTCCAGTTTAACCAGGCGAAAATTGAACTTTTGAGCCACTTGTGCCATTCTCAATAGTAACTTCTGGCGGTTCTTTATTATCCTGAATCAAACAGAAATTAACAAGCAGCATTTTATTACATCTCTATTACACGGAAGGTCTTTTTTTATTGCAGCTAGTTTGATTACTAGTGATTAATTGTAGGCCGATGCTCTGATATCATTGGGATTATTTTCGAAAATACCCCACTCACGGGGCCCGCTGTGCGGTACATTTACCTTAATTTCTCGCTAAGTACTGCTGTTGATAATATTGTCGTTTTAGACATCGTCATACATTAAGCCTTCTCTCTGACTTAAGTTGTTGCTTGCTTTTAGTGTCCCTTTAAGCTCGTGTTAATATTCGTCGGCTCTCGCTCCCAATCTCTCTTTTTTTTGGGCGTAGGAAGTGGAAGGTCTCAAGCTGGAGATCCAAGAGCTGGAGCAGTCCATTGCGGGCTACAAGGAACAGATGAAGGCGACTGATGGTTACACTGGCCGAAAGTGAGGAGGAGCTTGCAGAGAACGAAAAGAAGCTGGCCGCTGCCAAGGTAAGGGCATGCACTGGCGGCGCTCCTCTCGTCATTCTTGCTGCTCGGAGCACAGGGACACTCGTCTAGAGACACGCCACTTTCACTTACACTAAGTGGATTTGGGTTTCTTTGTTCATCGATGTGCCTGGAAATGTTTCTGGTCGCTTGTCACATTTTTTGGGGCTTATTCTTAGTTTTCCTGCAGATACTGTTACTTTACTTCTCAACCCTTGTTTATCTTTCAGGGACGCTAAAGAGCAAAACGATTTTTCGCGTATTAGTAAAGCACAATTTCGCAATCCCCAAAACACCACTCTTACCGCAACACGACGCTTGGTAAGCGAGAAAGCGCGCAAAAGGAAAGTGCAGGTGGCGACACCACCACCAGATTCCCGCACCCAACATTATGACACAAGAAATTTGAAGGCATCCACTGGATCCTACGTAGCTTCCAGTTAATAAAAAAACTCCCAAGCATTTCCCCGAGGTTGAACATGGTTAAGTGCGAATCCACGGGGTGATGCTATGAGGGGGAGTAAAGTTAAAATCCGTCGTCTTGACGCCGGCCTTCATCGCCCTTCTCCGCCTGACGCTTGCGTTGTCGTTCCGCTTCTTGGGCCGCGTTCGCGGCTCGATGCTGACGCCTCATCTCGGCCTCGCGAGCGCGCAGTTCACCATGCGCTGCACGCTTCGCCCGCTTGTCCTCGGCCTCGCGAGCGCGAAATTCGGCATCCGCTGCACGCTTCACCCGCTTACGTTCGGTCTCACGAGCCCTTCGCAGCGCCGCCTTGTCTTCCAACGTCGGCGAAACCACCGCGGTACCGTCACCTCCAACGACGGGTGCAGTGCTGGCATTCGGTTGTACTGCATTCGTTGTTGATAGTAGCGTTGCCTCCTGGACATCCATCGCACGATCCGCTCTCGACGGGAAACTGAGAGAGAAGGCGGGCGCGCGAGAGAGAGGGGTGCGCGCGCAGCTGCAGTGAACGAGGAGAGCGGAGGAGCGAGCGAAGGGGGAGGGGGACACGCGCAGCGGCGTTAAAGATATAAGGCGCGTTACTGACACCGATATTAGCGTCGCGTCCGTGGCTTATTCGGTAGAGCGTCGCACTGCGGCCCGCCAAGTCCTCTTTCTTTTAAAGATAGAGAGAGGACTGCGGACGCCGCCGACGGCGGCGGATGGTTTGGGGTCTCTTATAAAGTGTATTCACACTTAAAAATGAATTGCATTGTAATCTGCCTGTGCCATAGACTTGGAATACGAAATTTCAGGAAGTTTGATGGAACCAATGCCATGAAAATGCCAGGAAATACATTTCGAAATTTCTTACGTCACGCATGGAAATTTTCTTGCAATATTTAAAAATGTAACTTCAACCTTCACTTTTTTCTTCGCTAATACAGTAAAAGCTCGTTAATTCGAATTCCACGGGAACGCTGAGAAATTTCGAATTAAACAAAATTCAAAATAATGAAAGTGAGCAAAAATGGGTGGATTTCGGGGGTGGGGGCACGAAAAATATTTATTGGCCAAAAAAGTAGGCGAGGACCATCTGCTTCTTTTTTCTGAATGCCACAGCTGCGGCTCTCTGTTCCAGAGCACGGACGCGGCGCAGGGAATCCTCTTCACCCTCTTCAAAGCTGAAGAAGAGACGCGGCACATTAAGTGCCTCCATCACCGCAGAAGCTGACGGGCGCACAGGCGCTTCGTCATTTTCGTCTTCCTCACCTTCTGGCTCTTCAGCAACAGGCTGCGCACCGGCTACTTGGGCGATAATGTCCTCATCAGTCAGAGCACCACACACCGATGCACCGGTGTCAACTTCAACATAATCGGCAGAATGTACGCCCCGGAGAGTGTCGCGCAATGCCGCTGGCATGAGCTCCTCAGCCGCATCCACGTCGATGTCACAACTATCCTGCGCACTTCCAGCTGCAAATCCACTGTGGCGGAAACAGTTTGCGATTGTGGTCGCGGTCACCTGTTCCCATGCGCGCACCAACATGTGCATGGCAGTGAGCAGCGTAATGCCGAAGTCCTTCCTGTCGCCCGCGCACAAAATCATTCTCTCCAGCACGTGACGCCTATAGAAGCACTTGATGTTCCTTATCACACCCTGGTCCATTGGCTGTAAGGCCGCAGTCGTATTTGTTGGAAGGAACACTCACTTTGTTGCTCTCAGCTCAACGTCGACTTTGTGCGCTGAACAGTTGTCGACAACAAAAAGAACGCGTCTGCCGCCCAGTTCCATTCGCCTGTCGAATTTCAGTAGCCACTTCCTGAATAGGTCACCTGTCATCCAGGCTTTCTTGTTTGCGGCATACTCCGTCGGCAGTGACCGAATGTTTTTGAACCACTGTGGCTTGAGTGCTTTTTTCCGTACCGGTCATATTTGCGGCGACCAGAACAGTGACACGCTCTTTGCTGCGCTTGCCGCCGGCACAGCTGTCTCCCTTGTAGGTGATCGCCTTGTCTGGCTGTACTTGAAAAATAACGCTGTCTCATCAGCGTTAAACACATCCTGTGGTGAGGTGTCTCATCAGTGTTAAACACATCCTCTCCAAGTACTGCTGCAGGGTGTCGCTTCTCCAAGTAGCGCATGTTTCGGTGTCCACTTCCTTTGCCTCGCCGGATAACGTGCGGAATACGAGATTGTGCCGCTCCCTGAAACGATGAAACCATCCCTCGGAGGCGACAAAGTCTTCAATGTCCAAGCGCAGGGCGAAATCTGCTGCCTTGGCCATGATGATAGGGCCGCTCAATGCGATACTCGGGGCTCTCATTTCTTTAACCCAGATAATCAAAGCTGACTCCAGTTCCGGGAACTTCGCTGTCCTTAGCCTTTTTCGACTGGCGCCAAAATCCTCGGCTTCATAGGCGTTTTCAATGGCCGTCCTGTTGCGTATGTAGTTTGACAACGTGCTCGCAGGTATGCCGTGCTTCCTCGCAATTTCGTATTTGTTCGAGTTTCCTTGGTCAACCTCTCGCAAAATCTCCACCTTCTTTTTGACAGTCTTCGCGCAGTAGTTTCCCCGCGGCATCTTGCAACTTCGATGCGGAATAAGACGGCTTGACGGCATGAACGAACAACGTGCTCGAGGAACAAAGTGATGCTGCCGGGTGCGGCCTAGGACTGCTAGGACTACTCCGCCGACTCCTCAGCGTCCCGCGGGTCCCGCGTATACAAGTGGCGCCAGGCGCTGAGATAGCGGGACGGCTACGGAAAAAAAAAAATTGCTCCCTGCATTTTGGAGGCCATACTTTGCTCGCCCTTTGCTTGGGGGCCACTTGAAGCTCGAAAAAAAACGGACGTGCCACCTATCGTTCGGCCGTAAAAGCTTCCAGTAGTGTTTGACGATGATGACGCTCAGCGGTGCGCACTTCGAATTATCCGCGGCAATTTCTGTTCGAATTAACGAATCGTTTTACACATGGTCTCCTATGCACTGCGGACTGGACTGCGGCGACCATTTCGAATTATCCAAAATTTCGAATTAATGAGGTGTGAATTAACGAGCTTTCACTGTAATAAACTTTTGATAGTGAAACATGTGGCATTAGAGTTGTCAGAGTGCAATTGGTAAATTTAAACCAATTCATAGTTATTCTTGAGCAGTCTCTTTAACCTCTTAACTGCTTTGGATGAAAAAAGCTCATCTTAGCGGAATAGGTACTCCCCTTAAGTGTTCAGGCGGAAAAGCGCGCATTTACGAGTTACATTGTGTGTCATTCACTAGATGGCAGTATTTGACCCGAGTTATGTTTTCTTTTGCAGCTGGAGCGCAGTATTTGTATAAAAAAAACAGCGTGTGGTGGCGGCAACCTGTGCATATAGTAGCCGACTCGTGAACATTAAAAGCAGCTATTCTTCTTGGTCATCTTCTTCGAGTTGTGATGATTCGAGTACAGATATTCATCTATCTTGTGTCCGGAAGTGAAGACAGCAATAACGGTGAATCAGTAGCTCCTCCGATGATGATGAAGACAGTTCGGACTGCGAAAATTGCGAGTGCCCGCCGGTGAGGCCGCCTTGCGTTATTCCGCGTTTTGACATTTTTCACACAGCCCCAAAGCTTCCCAAGGGAAACACCCCAAGGGTGCTTAGCCTACACAAGGAAAGAAATATGCGGCATCTGTGACTGTATTGTTTATAAGATTTTTAATTTTTTTAGCACCAGGTAGCTGGTTTCCCATGTATTGTGCGGAATAAACTATATGCCGTTAATTTGACTAAGTATGTGGTGAAAATATTTTCTCAACATCGACTAGCTACGTTTTAGTACAATCAGAATCGAAATAAGCAATAAAAAAAAAAATAATAAGCACTTTTTGTTCAAAAATTTCCAGAAGAATATGCGCAGTTAAGGGGTTCAAAAGAATGCATTCTCCTCATTCCGTTAGGTTCTTTTCAATAAGAGTCTACCGTGCTTTCTACGTAGACACTTTGGCTAGCATTTGTGTCGTAGCTGAATCTTAGGAGTGCTCTAGTTTCATCTTAGTAATGTAAGTTAAAAAAAAATAATCTTTTGATAAAAAAAGACTTGCTGGCTGGCTCGTTTTTCAGGAGGACGTGAAAAAGGCCAGCAAAGAGGTTCAGGCACAGAAGGAAAAGCTGAAGGCAGCGTGCCGTGAGATCTCCGAGAAGTACGCCGAGCGAGCCGAGGTCGAGAAGAAAGCCGGCCAGCTGAAGCTCAAGATCCAACAGTGGGAGCACGACGTGAACAAGATTGAACGCGAGGCCGGGGACGCCGTTAAGAAGGTGTGTGCATCCTAGGGGCGTTCTGGCAATTAGTGGGGCATTGCACATCGATTGTGAGCATAGGGTTGAATATAGTCGAGTTGAAACAAATACAGTTAAACCTGCTTATAACAAACCTCCATATAACGAATTCTTCGATATAACAAAGTTTTTCTATTCCCCGCCGTTGCTTCATGGAAGCACATGTATTTGCGACCTCTGTGTAACAAAGTAACAGCGGGAGACAACCTTCATGTAACAAATTTACCCCACGGACAATCTAGGAATTTTGCTCCACATTTTGTTACAAGTACGCATCTTCCGCGGCTGCTCCGCCGCCACCAAAGCGCGAAGCGGCGCGGCGCATTGGGCGAAAGCAAGCACTTGCTATTGCGCGCGGGTGAGCGCGAAGTGGGTGGGCGGGCCTGCACCCCATGAGCTGGCATTGCTGCCGTTCTCACCGCCGCGGGCGCATGTGCGTGTGTGCCTTCCCCGCCCCCTTACCCACTCAAAAAAAAAAATAGAAAACAACTTTAGCGCATTGGCAGTGCCACGCTTTAGTTAGCGTCGCATATGTGGGGCCGCGCTGCATATGGAGGGCGCTTTACCGAATAGGTTCCGCGGCGTTCGTGTCTGTGTCCGTGTCGTTCGCTTATCGTTTTTGACGCCGTGCGCGTGAGCATAGTTGCACTGCGTGTGCGTGGTGTAGCCCCTGACGACATTCGGCTTTGCTTTTTTTTCTAATTACCATAGCGTTTATGCGGAGAGTCCCGGCTGGTTTATTGCCGTCGCCGCCGCAGCCGTCATTCACCGTTTATGTATGTATTCAATATGAAAACTCGAGGGGAAAAAAAAACGCCCGCGCTCGGCATTTAGTTTGTCACGATGCGCCGATGCGCGCTTATCTCTCACGTGCACTTTGCCCCGCGAATGGAGGGGGAGGGGGGGTCAGATGCCTGTGCGCGCCCGCGCTTATCCTTCGGCAGCGAAAATAGCGCCTTCGACTTTGACCGGAATGATTGCGTTTAGTTGCCGGGCGCACAAAGATTACTTCGCTCGCTGGACAGGCGTCGTTTGCAAAAAGAATGTGCTTTTCAAACACAGCAAAGTAAGAGCTGGGGCACTTGTTAGTTCGCACTCATATCTGTACCGGTGATTACGTTTTGTGCCTCGTTTTTATTTAAACAGCACGTTAAGTGTCGAGCAGTAAACGTTGTTAGTTTGCTCTTGTCCTGTCAATTGTTTTCGTGTGTCATTTGTGCGTGAGCAACGCGTTGCACGTTTTGATCTGCTTGCCGTTCTTAGCGTTACATTCAAAGTTGTTGCTGTCGCAGTCATTAATGGCTTTGCCCTTGCGGCGAAACTGTGACATTTCTTAATTTCGGACAACCATGTCGTCATCACTGAGGGGATGTCAGATGAGGCGTTGATGGAAACTCTCCGAGACCACGGTGACGACGGTTCCTCGAAGGTCGACTCGTCACGCGCTTCCGTCTTGCTCCGCGAGTTCGTAGGCTGGTAGCTTTCCCGATTAGCTGATTAGTTCTGGCAACACGACGGCGTGTTGAATGCAATGCAATTAATGCGATAGCAAGAAACTGTAATGGTATATGGAGTAAGGCTGCAGCCAACTCTTTTGGATTGGATATCGCGGAACTCCGCCTACAAAATGCTGGTGTGAGCAAATACGGCCTCTCCAGGGAGAAGTGCTCTTTTCACACAGTCACTTCGCGTTGAAACTGCACTGGTACTCGCCGAGAGAGCAAGCGCGCCAGCGATCGCGACCGCCCTTAACATTCAAGTTCATTAATGCTACTCGATCGATTCTCCCTGCCCTCCCCGTGTTGTTTCATGCTCGTTCAAGACGGCTGGTTTACTCTGAGCATTCGACGCCAGTTCTAACACGCGGGTTTATCATATGCACTTTTCAGGTGATAAGAATGGGCCGACTGATGTGATATCTGCTTCGCACGCTTTTACCCGCTCGTGAAAGTTAGGATGCGCGTTGGTATCTGATCAATTTACACTTGTTACGGAACATGGCGGCGACAGAAAAAAACCTGCCGAGTGTATCCATCTATTTTCTATCGCAATCAAAACGCAGTTTTTGTATTGTAAAATAAGTGTTTTGCGTTAGCTCTCCTTCAGTAACCCTCTTGTTCAATTTGCACGTTTATTTTGCGACTTTTTGTTCCAACCCTGCATATAACGAAATCCTTTTTATAACAAATTTTCTCGAGACTTTGTCAATTTTGTTATATCCAGGTTTAACTGTATTACAGTATTCAAATTCACTTTGACAAGAATAGAACTTGTTCAAAATTTTCCGCAAATAGCCGTATATCAAACAGGATGCAACCTCCATGTAAAGGTGGGTTTCCCTGCTGTGTACACTGCAACACCACCAGGCCAAATTCATGCTGTTGCAAAGCCAAGTTATAAGATTTAATGTACATATTAAGTTTGCCTCGGTTATTTACTTGATAAGACTAAAGGCATGTTGTATTGGCTTATATGAACTTCGTATTGTAAACTTTAATATATACCCTATTTTACATCTTCTAGCTTGCACCCTAATACAGCGTAGACTGCTTATAATGTAAGTCAAGGAAGTTGTAAAAATCCGCTCTATAAGAGGTACCACGTTATAAACAAAAACATGCTTTTTTCGGCTTTTGCCGATGCCAGAAGGGCAACCCACTTTTCAAACGCACTTTATTATACTTCTCACTCGTAAACACATTCAACACAGTCACAACACAACAGCAAGTTATTGCTGCTGCCACACAGCAGCATGCCGGTATTTTCGTCTGGCGATGCTTGAGAACAGCGCTTTGCACAAATTGTTCTTCGCGCAGTATCCTTTCACTCTTGAAGGGTATTCTAACGCGTCTTTGCACGGAAAATAGAGTTCTGGCATCGGGTCAACGTCGTCCGACTCGCCATTGGTTGCAACCTCCGCACTACCGCGCACTGTTGCGACGATTGCGTCATCTGAGCTCGCTTCGTCGCAGCCAGGTAGCTCCGACTCCCCGACATGGACAATTCCTTGGAAAGTGTCGGTGGCGGTTACGAACTTGCTGTCAACAAGGCCACACCACACGTCGTCAGTGTCAGACAGTCTCATCGGCGATATTGTCACACGGCCTCTACGACACGGTGAACAGAGAAGCGCACACGACAAATGCAACAACGCAAAAGACTGAGTCTGAAATGAAAAAAAAGTATGCTGCCACCACCGCCGCTTCTGTCTCGCACTCCGAAAACATGCTCCCTCCTTCTTTCAAGGTCTTCCTCCCTCCCTACTGTACCCTCTCTTCTCTATGTCTGCCCTTTCGCGGCTGGTCTCCACCCATGCATTCCCATCTGCTCCCACTCCAAACGTGCTGGGGCAATGGAAAAGTGGGCTTCGTTCGCCCATTTCACGGCCACGTCCCTAAAAAGTCCGCGTTATAACCGGTATTCTCCTCCACGAGGCTACGCAATGAGCGGTCCTCCTATGCGTTGAGTTCTATGGGCGACATATCAATGCTCAGAAAAACCCATGTAATAACCGGTCCTGCGCTAAAAGCGATTACGTTATAAGTATTCTACGCTGTACTACAGTTAGTTAAACCTGCTTGTAACGAACCTCCATATAACGAATTCCTGGATATAACGAAGTTTTTCTATTCCCCACCGTCGCTCCATAGGAGCACATGTATTTACGACCTCTATGTAACAAAGTAACTGCGGGAGACAACCTTAATATAACGAATTTTCTCCACGGACAATCTCGGAATTTTTGCTCCGCATTTCGGCATTTTGGTACGAACATGTATCTTCCGATGCTGCCCCGCCGAAGCGCGATGCGGTGGCGGCAAGCATGCGAGCTGTGTCCGCGTGAGGCGGGCAGGTGGGCCTGCACCTTTTGAGCCGGCGTTGCCCCCTTTCTCGCCGCCACAGTCGCATATGCGGGTGTGACCCCCCCCCTCCAAACCAAAATTAAAAAAAAAACTATTTTTGCTCGTTGGCGATGCCACGCTTTTAGTTAGCGTCACATATGTGGGGCCGCGCTGCATATGGAGAGCGCTTTACTGAATAGTTTCCGCGGTAACCATATCTGTGTCCGTGTCGTTCGCTCTTCGGTTTTGATGCCGTGCGCGTGTGCATAGTTTCACTGGGCGCGTGGTCGTGGTGTGTCCCCCGACGACATTCAGCTTTGCTTTTCTTTTTTTTTTTTGCGATAGCAATTATGTATATGGGCAGTTTCGGCTGGGTTTTTGGCGCCGCCGCCTTCATTCACCGTATATGTATAGTATATGTATATGTACCTATATATATGGAAACTCAAGAAGAAAAAAAAAAAGCCACCCACGCTCGGCGCTCAGCTCGAGCCGATGTGCCGACGGGCGCTTATCTCCCGTGTGTACTTTGCCCCACAAATGCGGAGAGGGGAGAGGGGGTTAGATGCTTGTGCGCGCACGCTTATTCTTCAATGGGGAAAATCGTGTGCCTTCAACTTTGACCGGAACAATTGCGTTTGCTCTTTTCACATAGTCCCTTTGTGTTGAAATCGCACTGATACTCGCCGAGACAGCAAGCGCGCCAGTTATCGAGACCGCCCTTAAAATCCAAGTTTATTATTACTACTCAAGCGATTTCCCCCTCTCCACGTTGTTTCATGCTTGTTTAACACAGGTGGTTTACTTTCTGTTTCAGCATTCGATGGCAGTTCTAACACGCGGGCGATGTTATGCACTTTCCAGGCGATAGGGATGGGCCGACTCATTTGATCTCTGCTTCAGCAGCGCTCGCATGCTTTTACCTGCTTGTGAAAGTTACAATGCGCGGGGGAATGTTGTCAATTTGGACTTGTTGCGGAACATGGCGGCGACACCAAGAACCCGCCGAGAGTGTCCATATTATTGCTATCGCAATAATAACGCAGTTTTTTACTGTAAAATGAGTGTTTGCGGTTAGCTCTGCCTTCAGTCCCCTTTTTGTTTAATTTGCACGTTTATTTTCTGAATTTTCGTATCGAACCTGCATATAACGAAAACCTCTTTTAACGAATTCTTCTGGGAATTCGTCAATTTTGTTATATCCAGGTTTAACTGTATTGAATGTTGCTTCCTCTTGACTATGAACCTCAAAAGTGACATTCACTGATGCCTTCGTCCGATTCTCAAAAATATTGTGCAAGTTGCTTTGTTCATTGCAGAAATGCTCACTTTTCTTCATAATGCACGATATAATGTACCTTTCAATTTGAAATTGTCCGAACAAAAGCACCATTTGCCTCGACTTTGCTGTGAACCTCAAATACATTCACAGCTCATTATGACAAAGTTGCATTAATGTGTCTATTACAAGGCTATCGCTCATTTATTTCGTTGTATCCGATATCTCATTATATTTGGGTTTGTTATGTCGAGGCCTGAGTGTACAAGATTAGCCCATCCCTAACATTGGCATTAATGCGAGTCCACTGCAGAATGAACACCTGCATAACACTGGTAGTTAGGCATGGGCAGAAGCCAACATTGCGTGCAGCTCGACCTCGTTTCCAAAAAAAAAATGCGGAAGACGAACATATGATCCGAATCCAGCAAAAATTGAGGCTGGCAAGTCCATAGAGAGGTGTAAGGGCAGAAAAAATGTATTACTTAAGAAACAGTAATTTTATGCTGTTGCCTCTGATCTTTGGACAAGAACAGCTCCTTCTGCGCACATTGCTGACCCTTGTCAAGGCAATGTCATCAGCGAATCGCAGGTTATTAAGATACTCTCCACTAACACTTATCGCTAACTCTTCCCAATGTAGGGCCCCTGAAAACCTCCTGTAAACTCGCCCTGAATAGCATTGGAGAGACCGTGTCTCCCTGTCTTACACCCTTCTTTATTGGCATTCTGTTGCTTTCTTTACGGAGAACTATGGTGGCAGTTAATCTGCTGTAGATTTCTTCCAGTATGGTTATGTAGGTTTCGTCGATGCCCTGAATCCGTAGTGCCTGCATTACTGCTGATATCTCGACTGAGTCTAACACCTTCTCGTTATCTATGAAAGCTATGTATGTGGATTAGTTGTATTTCGCGCATTTCTCTATTACCTATTTCATAGTATGAATATGGTCTATTGTGGAGTAGCCAGTACGAAATTCTGCTTGGTCCTTTGGTCGATTGAACTCTTATGTCATCTTGATTTTATTAGCTATTATTCTTGTAAATAGTTTGTAGAGAACAGACAGTAAGTTGATGGGCCGGTAATTTTTTAAAGTCCTTGACGTCTCCTTTATTATGTATTGAGATGATGTTGGCATTCTTCCAAGATTCTGGTACCCTTCCCGTCAAGAGACGCTTCGTATATGAGGTGGCCAGTCTTATTGACACGATGTCTTCGCCATCTTTCAGGAGGTCCGTTGTTACCTTATCCTCACCAGCGGCTTTGCCTCTTTGCATTCTTTCTAGGACTTTTCTTACTTTCCCTGTCTTTATTGATAGGATGTTGAATTCCTCTAGATTATTATTATTTCTCACGATGTCATCCTGATTGTTTTGGCTTCTGTACAGCTCTCTGTAGAACTCCTCCGTCACCTCAACTATCCTATCCATATTGGTTATGACGTTGCCTTCCTAGTTCTTTAAATGCATACATACGACTTTTACTTACGCAAAAGTCTGCCTTCGCCGCTTTTAGGCTTCAGCCGCTTTTTACAGCCTGCTCATTTCTCTCCATGTTATACCTTCTGACGTCGGCTATTTTAAGTTTATTGATTAACTTCCAAAGCTTCTCTAGCTCTATTTTCTCGGTCGCATTTGGGGCTTCCATGGCTTGCCGTGTCTTAATATTTTTCGTCTCCTGAGATAGTTTGCCCGTGTCCTGTCCCGTGACGGTACTTCCAACTTCCATTTCACACTCTGATGATACTAGTAAGATTATCGTTCATTGTGTCAACACTAATGTCGGTTACCTCGTTTAGTGCCTCGAAATTATTCAGAAGCAAAACTGAATTCCTGTACTTACCGGGCTGTTGCACCTGGACAGCCTTGGTAAAATCGAGACTAGCGTCTTCACCATTCAAAAACGAAGAAGCAGGCCAAGACTAGCGATTTTTTTTTTTTTCACAAATAAATTATTCTGTTGTGGTGTGTGTGCGGAATCACTTGTCATTCTTGAATGCGCCTATTGTAGGCAATATTCGCTACAGGTCAGCTCTCATGGCCTCTATCTTTTATATTGAATTTTTATATATCGAACAAATTTGCGATCCGCTTAGAGTTCGAAATGTTTTCGACTGTAATCTGAATGTACGGCTCTTAAAGGTGGTTTCACTGCAGTGTAGGGGTGGTGAACCGTGAAAGCACCTGTTTAGGAGAAATCTGCTCTGCCGCGAAGCTGCCTTACAAATTTAAAGGGGTCGTGCAACACTTTTTGAGCATTGTCGGAAACTGCTGCCGATCGGTAGTCGAGGCTACCAAGGACATGGAAGCCATATATCATTGCGCAGCACGCGGCGTGCGATTCACAACAAGTTCTCAAAGTCGGCTGAAAATCTATCTTCTCTTGGCAAATGACTCCACAAGCTCGGAAAGCACTGCGTGACGTATTTTCTTTCTCCGCGCCATCTCTCCCTGCTTAGCGCCCAGCGCTTTCGTCAGGGACGAGAAGAGACAATGCATTTGCAGCGTGCGAGAAATATTTGCAACTCTGCGAGTACTGGATGGCTTCTAAAAATTTTGGCAGCGGTGAATTCATGAGGCAATAAGCTTCTTTAGTGAATCCATTCCATGGCTACTTGAAAGTCTGATGGCCCCTTTAGGTGAAAATATTACCCTCAAATCGATTCATTTTATTAAGCGTAGAAGCTTATTATGACTGGCTTATATGATCGAAGTATAATAAATTTTAAAATGTTACATATTTTAAGGGTTCTGACTCGCATCCTGCTGAAAGTTCCAAGTCCTGCTACTACTCAAAGTTGTTTCGACTTCCTTTGATCGAAAAAAAAAAAAAAAACTTCCATTTGTATAGGTGCCCGTATTTCAACTTTTCAAAAAATATTGTGTAGGTTACTTAAGTCATGATAAATATGCCCATTTTTCTTCATATGTCATATATACTATTCAATTCGAAATTAGTTCAACCAATGTCGCTATTCGCTTCGAATTCACTTTGAACCTGAAATTAGGTACTCTCACAAGCCTAGTATTAACAAATTGAGCTATGGGGGCATTTTGAGTTCTTGCAATTTCGAGCGTAGAAGCTGGGAAATCGTATTAAGTGGGAACATATCAATAAGGTTCTACTGTACCTCTCTCCCTGATCTGAAAGCTGTTTAGGTCGAAAAGCAGCTTCTTTCGATCAAAGTAATTTCTAAAATGCACTCTCACGGGTGTACCCGCGCGAGCTTCGCATGTAGTTCACTATGGGCTCCAACGGCCACAACTCAGTTCCCTAGAATTGGAGACAACCTTAAGGCTTGGGTTTCTGGTAGTGTCTGGTGGTCTGCATTCCTCGGGTTAGCTTGGTGGGCGTCGCTCTGCCAAAGCGAATCTTGGAAGTCGCATAGAAGTTCATGGTTCAGTTGTGTCCTGCTGCTCGCAAGAAAACTGTTTGCTCTTTCAACGAATTCAAGTAATTTTCACTAATTGTCTTCACAATTTTGCTCCTTATTTATGTAGACTATATCACATGTGTTCGATACAACTGGAACAAGATCCACCGATTTTACACCAGTTTTATTTTTTTACAACACCTTTTCTGAATAGTTGGAGATCTGGAAGTGCTTGGAAAGGAAACAAGAACTTCCCTCTGTGCTCGTGATACTGAGGCACAGATAAGACTGTAATGCTGCGTACTGTCCATGCCTTTGAGTGCTCCATGTGCATGTGCAACTGAACCTGTCTCGCGTCAAATTACAGATGCAGGTTGGGCAAGTTAGTGTGAATGGTCTTCAGAAGTGAACTAGTGCAAAAAGGTTAAGAAAAACAGATAGGACGCGGCACGGTGTCTTTTTCTGCTAATTAGCTATGTGTTCAGCTAACATTGTCGTGTCATTGGGCATGATTGCTCTGCAGCTGGAGGAAATGGTCAGTAACTACGAGTGGATTCCGTCGGAGCGGCATTACTTTGGCAAGAGCAACACGGAGTACGATTTCGAGGTCAACAACCCGACCGACGCTGGGCGGCGCATCCTGAAGCTGAGCGAGACGAAGGAGAAGCTCGGTCAGAATGTCAACTCACGTGCCCAGACCATGCTGGTGAAGGCCGAGGAAAAGGTGAGAGAGAAAATTACGCTATCTCCCACTAAAGGGAATCATGTGTAGAAGCAAAGCAGCGCTGGTGTTCACTCAAGTTTCCCTTTGTTGCTTCCATTTGTATGTTTCCGTGTATGTTTAATTTTTGTGTGAAGTTGTGTTGTGCACCCCTTATTTTACTGCCCGCTCCCATTTTTCTGTATTACCGTGTGTGTGTGTGCCGCAAAGTGAACACGCAGCACTGCTAAGAGAGTGCAACGGCGCGAGCGCACAGCCGCGGCAGAAAGATAAACAGGAGAGGAGAAACGAAGCGGAGGCAGCGCTCTGCTAGCTCCTCCACCCCACCTTTTCGCTTAATTGAGTGAGGAGAAGAGGGGGAGAGTTGGCACATGCGCAGTGGGAGAGTGGACGGTCACCGAGGGACGGATACAGCACTGGGCAAAGGCTGCTTTGCGTCTAAAACTATCCGTTGACAGCGTATACAAGATAACGGACAGCGCAGGCAAGGCACAGTGGCATGCACTCTATTGCTGAACTCTGCAGACAGCAGGCGCATGTTGTGGTGATTAGATTTTCCGTTTGTGCGCATCAAGGCTGGATTTTTCTCATTTACTTTGTTTCGGTATCAGTTTTACTTCGTGCAAGCACCACCCGTGAAAAATAACCCTTTGGCTTTTGATGAGTTGGTTTGCTAATTCAGAAAAAGGCACCATATTTTTTTACTTGGAGCGTATTCCTGAGTGTAAATTATACAAGGGAATCTGTGTGTAAGGTGACTACACGACAATGCTTCAGTGCAATGCAAAAAAAAAAAAGGATAGTACACTCGAACCTCGCTATAACGAAGTTGCATCTTACATGTTCGTTATATCAGAAAATTTGTTATAAAGGTATATTCTAACACTATGTATATTGCAAGATTATTGATTCACTTCGTTATAACAAATATTTCGTTATAATCTGGTTCAATGTATCAAGGTTTGAGTGTAGCATTGGCAACGACAAGTGAAACTGACTGGAGGGTAAAACAGGGAAGCAACGCTGAAGACTAAGACCAGTTAAAAAATGTTATTGCATTCTTTGAACATACCTTACAAGATCATTTCTATGAGATCGTAAAATTAATTTGTTAGGTTAAAATATGTAGGTATTATGTGGGAAACGTTTTTAAAATTGTTGGTGGGCTGTAGTTGCAGCTGTGAATTCTGATCATGCATGGGTTATATGCGAGAAAACATGGCACACACTATCTTCCTCCCATAATTCTGTTTTCAGGTACAGTTGGCCACTCGGTCAATGCATTGCGCTAGTGCTCGTTTTAGTTATTATTGCAGTACCTCTTGTAGTGCGGATGTACACTACTAATTGCAACCCTCGGGGATGCATGTTGCAAATTCTGTACTGCTCCCGAACCGTGTTGCACTTTTTTCGACCGACTCGGCAGTGCCCTCCAATTTTCGTGCAAAATAAAAAAAAATTTGTGGTTCTCCCTCATTGCTGGGCCGCACAAAAAAAAAAAGTATTGCCTTGGTCAACTGTCTGCTACAAAGAAAAAAAAGAATGTGGTTTATCCCTCCATCATAGCAATCTGCATAGCATAATCTCATTACATAAGTTGCTAGATGTTTACTGTACATAAGACCGCTTGCACAATGCTTTTTGGTGTTTGGCAGCAACGGCACAGTTTAATGTTTAATATCGATGCACTCACGTTGATGCTTGGTGGTACATCTTCATTATGACGACTGATGCCCATTATTAATGATTACACTAACGCTTGTGGTATCTGTAGTAGTTCACGGGAAGAGTGTAATTTCAAAAAGTGGTGTGACCGCCAGAAGGCCGTCGCTGACTAAATGCAGAACTTGTGCCGAGGTCACCACCCCGATGCATATCAAAGAGTGGTTAAACACTATTGCCTCACTGAAGGGAGACTCAACGCATGTCGTGTTCGCCCTCTAGCCTGGCTGCGTTCTTTCTCATGGCAAGCGTAAGTGGGGAACACATTGTTAGTCTGGTGAGGCAGACGTGCTTCGCAGAGCTACTTTGGTGTGGATGTATGCTATGAGCGAGGCCTACGCTTGGGATAAGGTCGCCACCTCGTGGCGTATTCAGACGTTGATGAAATTGCACTTCTATCGGAAACGCGCCTATTGGGATGAAGTCATTGCAACGGCATGTTTGTCTCCATAGTGTGTGACCATGGCGCAGTGGATACACTCAAATGTCATTAGCAAAGTTGCATCTTAAACAAAAATCGGTTCTTTATATCCAAAAGTTCTTTTCAAAGGTATCTCACAACATTATATTTATTGCAAGACTATTTTTAATTTACTTCATTATAACTGATATTTCTTTATATCCGGGTTCTGTCGAGGTTTGATTGTAGTGTACCCAGAATTTATCGCAGACCGGGAGGGCATGTGTAAGGAAAGGACACATTGAGCCCTCGGAGTCCCCGTATCAAGCTCCGATCGTCGTGGTCAAGAAGAAAGACGGGAATAACCGACTTTGCATTGATTTCAGACAGCTGAATCGAGTCGTCGTTACAGACAACGAACCGATACCGCGAGTGGACATGATGTTTGCCAAACTAGGTCAGAGCCGCTACTTTTCGAAGTTCGACTTCACCAAAGGGTACTGGCAGGTGCCGGTGCACGAAGCATCGAAGGTCCTCACCGCTTTTCAGTCCTCTTCTGGCCTTTACCAATTCAGATTCATGCCTTTCGCATCAAAACAGCGCCTGCTGTGTTCACCCCACTAATGAGACGAGTGGTAGATGGAACACCGAACATCTATCACTATTTTGACGATGTGCTCATAGCCACACAAACTTGGGACGAGCACATAACAACTCTCACCAAGTTTCTGCAACGTGTCAGGGCAGCTCATCTCACAATAAAGCCATCGAAAAGTGAGGTGGCTTTTGCCGAAGTGAAATTCTTGGGACACATTCTCGGGAACAATCTTCTCCGACCCCAGATTGAGACATTGGAGAAGATTCAGGCCGCAAAGAGACCGAAGACGAATAAAGAAGTTCGCTCCTTTCTAGGTTTAACCAGTTATTATCGGGATTTCGTCCCCAATTACTCCGCTGTAGTATCACCTCTAACGGAACTCACTAGGAAGCGAGGTCCAAATAAGGTCACCTGGGAAGAATGCCATGAACAAGCGTTTGTTACACTACAGCGTATACTATCGTCTGGTCCGGTACTGCGATCACCGGACTTACAAGAGCCATTCATATTGCGCACGGGTGCATCTTCATCCAGCATTGGAGCCGTTTTAATGCAGCGTCACGACGGCATGTTGCATCCAGTAGCCTACGCAAGCCGTAAACTGCTCGAACGGGAGTCATGGTACTCAACAATCGAAAGAGAGGCGCTGGCTCTTGTGTAGGCTATCCAAAAGTTTCATGTGTACCTCTTCGGAAACCGATTTGTGCTGCAAACTGACCACCAGCCTCTTGCTTACATAAATTTCGCAAAACAAATCAACAGCCGAGTACTCCGCTGGAGCCTATTGCTTACCGAGTATGACTTCGTGGTTGAGTACATTAAGGGCTCCGACAACATAGGGGCCGACTACCTCAGCCGCATTTGACTTCTCCGCTGGTTAGCGTGTAGTGGTGGCACAATTTCTTTTCATGTTAATTCACCCTTTCCCTAACGGAATGAACTTCTGTAAATAATGTTTTTTTTTTTTAGTATGTTTTCGCTTTTGGGTGCTCCACCTCGCGCGCTTGTGAAAAGTTGTTTTCCTCCTAAACAACTTTCTTGAGCAGGGGGATATTTGTAAGGAAAGGACACAAAAGCGCCGATGAACGTCAAACCAAAACTGAAGAAGACGAGCGGAGGGCAGGTGGCACGAAGGCGATAACAAGAAATGAAAAAGAAGAGGAGAAGAAGAAGGAACGTGCGAAAGAGAGCTCGAGGGTTGAGGCCACGAAGGCAGATGAAGCGGTGCGCCGCTCGAGAGGACGAGTGCCTGGCAGCGTTCCTGAGCCGGACGTGGGACTTGTACGTGCCGGCCAGGTCGAGCTCCGGTGTGACCGTTCGAGGTCGAGTCCGTCGGCCTGTACAAGGTCCAAGGACGGGGCCTGCTGAACGGCTCCTGCCTGGGTGCAGTGGCCGGGAGCAGGTTCGTGGGCGAGGCCTACCGGGCGTGGTCCTCGTGAGCCGTGGCCTGACCCTGGACCTCAGGAGTTGCGACCCTGACTGCCGGGTTGGCCGCGACGTCCAACTAAACGGCGCTGCACACGGTAGCGCATCAGTGTGCCGTCAGCCGTTCGAGCCGTGCCACCTTTGCCCTCGTGCACGTCGACGACCGCATCATGTCGAGACGACGGGGACCCAAACTGTGAGGCAGCGGTTTCTGCTTGCGAACCGAGAACTATACGCGCTGGACACTGAGTAAGCGTAGCCGCGAGCTCTCCGCATAATAGAGGTCTGACTCTCGTGCAGGTGGCGTGATGCTTGGCGTGTAGGGTTGGATATTGTTTGCCAGCGAGTCCTCGTCAAACGACCGTGCCTCTGAAAAAGGCAATCTGGGTCAAGGCCAGCCCGCCGTCTGCCCGACGCGAACATCTCAACGGCGTGAACACGCGCGGCGCCTCTCTCGCCCACGTGCATTGAGTCATCGGCGCACGTGACAGCGAGCCGGCGTTCTCGTGCCTGGTGGTCTGACGCATGGCGCGGCGACCCCCATTGGCGGAATCTGCCCGGACGACCCGCGGCGCTTCTGATTGGACACTTTGGTTGGACCCGGTGTAAATAAAAGAAGCCCTGCGGCGCGTCGCGATCGGCGGTCCTATGTGAGAGGCGTCCCCGTGTCGGAGTGCCGACATGTGTGTGAGTCAGCGGTCTTAGGCGAAAGGCTGAACTATGTGTTAGAGAGAAGAGCTCGGCTCTTCGAGTCTCTGTCGGCCCCAGTGTCGAAATTGTAACGCCTCTGTATATATGCTGTATATAAACCTTGTTTAACTCACCGTCGTCTCGTCCGCTCGTCTTATCAGCTCTGCG